CTTGGAGGATTCTGGGGTAACCTATAGAAAAGTCGGAAGGTAAGGGTCCATGTACCTAAATAGGGGGGAAATTTGTGGCTTCAAGTACTTCGTATCTTGGGCCCCTGAGGCCCCACTATATCATCATTACCCTTACACCCTAAACCCCTAAACCCCTAAACCCCTAAACCCCTAAACCCCTAAACCCCTAAACCCCTAAACCCCTAAACCCCTAAACCCCTAAACCCCTAAACCCGAAACGACTCTCCGAAAGGAGACACATGATGTTGTATTAGGGGTTACAGACCTCCTAGCACCCCCCTCCCTTAAGAACCCTATAGACGAGTGACTAGTGACTGTCGGACTGTCGGTAGATCAGAACTCAGGTTGCGAATGGCCCTAAGCCGTAGGGGTTCAGGGTTTAGGGTTTAGGGTTTAGGGTTTAGGGTACTGCAGTGCGGGTTCTTCACAATCCCGTTGCGGAACTGGGTGTTGCGCTTGCGCTCAAGCTTTCTACAGGCATCCGACCGTAGCTTCCTCATTTCTCCCTGTAGCTCTCCCTGTAGCTCCCCAAACTTGTAAAGCACTCAGAAACCCCGAAATCCGAAAACCCTGAACCCTCCGAAGCCCCTAAACCCTGAGACACCCAAGTACCCTAAACCCTAAACCCTAAACCCTAAACGCAGGGCACCAACGCGTACACGCATTGCGCCGAGTGCGACCTCGACTTTTGCTCCACGTGCTGCATGTCCCCCTGCCCGATGTGCCTTGGCCTCCTCTAGACGAAGGAGGGGGTTTAGGGTTTAGGGTTTAGGGTTTAGGGTTTAGGGTTTAGGGTTTAGGGTTTAGGGTTTAGGGTTTAGGGGGGCTTAGGGGGCTCAGGGGGATTTGGGGGCTTAGGGGGGTTTAGGAGGCTTAGGGGGTTTATAGGCGCCGAAGGGTTTTGTCATTCAAGATATGCTCCCCCTAAACCCTAAACCCTAAACCCTAAACCCTAAACCCTAAACCCTAAACCACCCGAAACCCTAAACCCGAAGAGGATTGACTTGGCGGAGTCCCTCGAACGACTCCCCCACCTGGCTTCGCTGAAGTTGGCCGACTGCTGCTTTCAAGGCCCGGCGGCATTTTTTTTCAGGGGTTCCCCTCCCTCTTTAGGGTTTAGGGTTTAGGGTTTAGGGTTTAGGGTTTAGGGTTTTGGGTTTAGGGTTTAGGGTTTAGGGCTACTACCCCCTCGCATATTCCCCCATAATTAAGGTTGTTTAGGGATAATTAAGCCTAGTCAAGGTTTTTTAAAGGGGAGGGGGGGGGGTAGTATAGAGGGGGGATAGTACGTTTGCGCAACAACAACTCCAAGGCCAGCCTGCGCTGGTTTGCCGGCATGTGCAATATCTTCTGGTAGCCCGGTGGTACCCTTTGCCCCTTTTTTTGTTGGTTCAAGGTTCCCTTGTAAAGCAACCGGAGGGTCCAGTGTGCCAGCTGACTCAGTTGACGGCTGCCTTCGGGACTATATGAACCCTAAACGGGTTTATGGGTCATATACCCTCATAGGAGTGACAGGAGTCAGGGTATATCCCTAAACCCTAAACCCCCTAAACCCCAATTTTAGGGTTGCTTTGGTCCCGAAGGTGAAGCTTCAAACCCTTCCACTTCCGGCGCAGGTGGAAGACTTGGGCCAGTTAGGTCTCACCTGGACATTGCCACTTATCTGAACCCTGCGTGGAGTACCCCTAAACCCTAAACCCTAAACCCTAAACCCTAGGGCCACGGTTTGGGCTGAGAGTATGAGGTGCCGTCCTCACGAATTCCAAACGTGTTGCTGCGGCATGCATGAATGACCTGAATAACATGTGCCGCTCTTGGGCTTGGGGACCACATAAACCTTCCGGGTTCATCTACCTTAATAGGAGTCATAGTAAGTATAGGGTATATGACCCCAATTTTAGGGTTCATCTGGTCCCCAAGGGAAGTCTTCACGCTTGGTTTCCTGCCTCCAGCCCGACGCCTAAACCCTAAACCCTAAACCCTATACCCTAAACCCTAAACCCCTTGGCCTAACACGCACATTCTTGAACGTGCGTCTTAGGAGGCCTGGAGGACAGTGCGACACACACCCTATCCCGACAACATCCCAGGACTCCCGAGCTCGGCACCTTCACTCTTTAGGGTTTAGGGTTTGGGGTTTAGGGTTTTGGCCCTAAACCCTAAACCCTAAACCCTAAAACTCCTCCCAGCGCAAGGAAGGCTATCAGGTTTTGGGCGACGCCTTGCGCCGGCACCCGAACATCACGGAGCTCGACCTCAGCAAGAACTACTTCCAAGGCCCTCCCTCCTATGACCACATGAACCCTAGGGTTTAGGGTTTAGGGTTTAGGGTTAGGGTTTAGGGTTTACGGTTTAGGGTTTAAAATTGGGGGGCCATATACCCTGACAAGCCTTTTAACCATAAACCCTATATCCTTTGCTTGCCTTGGGCGAGTGTCAGAGCCGAAGCCCTGAAAACCCTAAACCCTACTGGAATCCGATGAAAATACGTGAACCATATACACCTGCCAGGGTTAGAATGTCCATAGGTTGCAAGTAAAGATCTTGCTTAGAGGTTCCCTTTCGTAAGGCATGAAGTAGATGAGGGTTTAGGTTTTAGGGTTTAGGGTTTAGGGTTAAGGGGGTCCCAAGGTGCCCCTGGGATCCCTTAAAGGAGTCCATGAGGGGGGGATATACGGTACGATGAAGAACTCGAAAGGTTCATGCGAGGGGGGGGGGGGGGGGGGTCGTTTGGGCATCGTCCCCTTTCCATCTTATCTTCGGGTTCGTGGGATAAAAGTGGCCTGGGGTATGCTGTCGGAGAGCTGAGAGGTGCATGTGCAGGGTTTAGGGTTTCGGGTTTAGGGTTATTTAGGGTTTAGGGTTTAGGGTTTAGGGTTTAGGGTTTAGGGTTTAGGGTTTAGGGTTTAGGGACCGTGTGATGATCCCAAGCCCCGGACCCTAAACCCTAAATCAGATGGACAGATAAGTCCGCAAGTACTGGAAGCAACAGATCTGAAACCCCAAACCCTAAACCCTAAACCCTAAGCCCTAAGCCCTAAGCCCTAAGCCCTAAGCCCTAAACCCTAAACCCTAAACCCCAACTCAGTGGAACTGAGGGCGAGGCTTTCCCCATCTCTTGCGCGGTGTGGCTGAGATGAAGGCCACCTCCGCTGTTGTTCCTAAACCCTAAACCCTAAACCGGAAAGACCGATTACCCGAAACTCGAAACCCGATTACCCTACACTCGAAACCCTAAACCCTAAACCACCCTCAGATGAGTGAACGGCCACAGCTCCCAAGCATTCAACCGGAGACCCCAACTCAACTGTAAACCCAACTAATCCCTAAACCCTAAACCCTATAAAACCCTAAACCCTAGACCCTACAAGCCCTTAACCCTAAACCCTAAACCCTAACAATCAATAAGCCCTAAACCCATAAACCTAAATCCCAAACCCTAAATCATCCTTTGGGTTCTTGACCAACCTTTGGGTTTCATGCGTTTGTAAGGGTTGCCACGGTTGGGTTTAGGGTTTAGGGTTTAGGGTTCAAGGGTTTAGGGTTTAGGGTTTGGGGTTTGGGGTTTTGGGTTTGGTGTTTAGGGCTTTGGGCTTAGGGCTTAGGGTTTAGGGTTTAGGGTTTGGAACCCGAAGCTCACCGCATGTCAGGCGAACTCGGATTAGGCTTCAGGGTCTTGGGATACCTTAGAGAGAGCAATCTAAACCCTAACCCCTCAACCCTAAACCCTTAATTTCTCCCGATGACGAGGGTATGTGACAACGGTATGTGAGCTTGAAACGAAAACCCCTTTAGTTTAGGGTTTAGGGTTTAGGGTTTAGAGTTTAGGGTTTAGGGTTTAGGGTTTAGGGTTTAGGGTTTAGGTGTTCTCTGAGTTCCCGAGTCCCCAAGGAATTTGAGGCTGGCGGGTGGTTTGGTTTCTCCCTTAACCCTAAACCCTAAACCCTAAACCCTCTCCTTCTTGTGCCCTCTTATCCTAAACCCTAAACCCTAAACCCTAAACCCTAAACCCTAAACCCTAAACCCTAAACCCTAAACCCTAAACCCTAAACCCTAAACCCTAAACCCTAAACCCTATCTTCTTTGCAGCTCCGGGGCTCTTTGATCGCATCAGCTGAAGCAGGAGCGCAGGTGTATACATCAGAACTTAGGGCATCAACATGGAAGAGCACTGGGCCTTGAATGTGACCCCGCGTGCAATTGCTGTCCTAATCCCTAAACCCTAAACCCTAAACCCTAAACCCTAAACCCTAAACCCTACTTGCGCCAGGCACTCTCTGTGGTGAAGCTCGGGGTGACCCCCATCGACGTTCAGGACCTATAGAAGTCGGGCATGGACAGCTCGGTGAGGTGGATCTGTGTGGGATATTCACCCTTATATTTATGAAGCAGGGTTTATATTCCTGTTTTGGGTGAGTGTACATAACGTTCCTGTTTAAAATTGGTGAGTGTATATATTGGGTGTCCTTTTGGGGATACAAGAAATATAAACCCTACTGTATATACCTTGGTAGCCCAGTGGTACCCTTGACCCCCTGTTTTGGTTCTGGGTTCCCTTCTAAAGTAGCTAACCAAAAAAAAAGTACCTGCCCATATTATAATGTGGTTACTGGGCTACTCAGGATACTAAGAGTCCTTAACAGGGATGAAAGTAGGGGGGGAGGGGGGCCCTATAATCCCTATTAAGGACTGTCAGCATAGGGGGGGAACATACCCAGCAAAATTGTCAGACCGGGCTGTTGAATGGGCAGTTTGCCACTCGTTCGCACCCCTAATACAGGAACCAGGGTTTAGGGTTTAGGGTTTAGGGTTTCTGCTTCTTGGAGTTCCCCTCAAATACGGTGATGAGTCCGGGACTCATGCACAGGTGTATGCCGGTGCACATCTCATGTCGTCGGCCCAAGGGTATGTATGGCTGAATTATCGCCGATGACCTTCCAAACTTTTTTTGTTGGGCCTTTTCCAATACTGGCCTCAACATGAAGATGAACATGCATCACGCGCAGAGCTTCTGGCTTTGCACGGACGTGTGCGCGGGCGTGCGCCATCGCAGTCGCGTGCTCTACCTCGGCTACGGCTTCATCTCCTTCATTCCGAAGCTCGCCCACATGCAGTACATGGTGCCTGGCGCGAGTGCCATCGATCAGCCAGCAGTGGCAGCAGCAGGGGTCGTCGTCACGTGCATGTTGGTCGCGGGCGTTTCGGGCTGGTACTCCATGGATGCGGTCGCGGAGGACCACTTCTACATCTTGGAGGATCCTGGTGCCAGCCGATGGCTGTTCAAGTTGTGCACGTACCTGACGTTCTTTGTCATAGTAAGGGTAACATTTTACATTGTTAAGTTAAGGGTACTTAAACCAAATAAGGAATAACAATTTAGATTGTTAATATTATCCCAACAATGAACTAGGCTTGCCTGTTACCTCTACCCAGTACTTCTTTTTGGACACTCTCAGCTGGTGGCAGACGCTTGGTAGCCCAAGTGGTGCCCTTTTCCCTCTTTTAGGGTTCATGGTTCCTTGATACATGAACCAACCAAAAGAAGGGGTGCCCTTATCATGATATGGTTATTGGGCGCTAAACCCTAAACCCTAAACCCTAAACACTAAACCCTAAACCCTAAACCCTATAACCCTAAGCCCAGGAAGGCTTCGCCGTGATCACGGCCTGCTATTACCTTCTCTGGGCACCCATGATGGACAGCTCCTAGGCCTGAGGCTGGAGATACTTTCTTATCCCAAAGAGACGCTTGATCCTTTTACCCTAAACCCTAAACCCTAAACTCAGGGCCTAGGCCGCCCTTGTACAGAAGGGGGGCGGCGCTTAAGCGCTTCGACGTCTATGGGGAAAGTCGAACCAGGTGCCGCCTCCTGCAGCCCGGAGGTCGGTAGCACCCACGATGGGCCCGGTACCGGAACACGTTCTCCTCGGGACCGGTGCTGGTCCCTTATAATAAAGTAACTCATGCCCTAAAACCCGAGCTTGTGGCTGGCATCGGGGGGGTAATTACAGGGCCCCAGGGCAGGAGGACCCGGACCCCCTCGCCGCAGCGTGTCCACGAAAACCCGCCATGGCCCCGCCGGGCCTCCTTGGCCCCATGACCCCTCCTGACCCTCCCCCGCTCGCTCCTGCTGACTCTGCACACCTCTCCTTTCCTATGCAGCTGAGGACCCTCAAACCTTTCCCTTGGCTGAAAGTGGCCATCGGTGACGGAAAGGTTTTTTTTGGAAAGTAAGCGATTGTCATGAGATTAGGCCTAAACCCTAAAAGGAATAGGTTTGGGTGGTTTTGCCGCCTCGGACGGCGTGGGGTGGGAGACAAGTATTAGATGGCCCTCCACAATCGGGCCAGAACTGCTCTTCGCACCTGACGAGGCATTCGAGCCGCTGCTGCATCCTAGCCTTCACAGCATCTACGCCCTATCACAGCAAACTCTAAACCGTAAACCCTAAACCCTAAACCCTAAACCCTAAACCCTAAACCCTAAACCCTAAACCCTAAACCCTAAACCCTAAACCCTAAACCCTAAACCCTAAACCCTAAACCCTTCCCAAGGCTCGAAGGCTGCCACCTGCTTGGTTCACCTCTGGTGCTTCATGGCCTGTGTCAGATTGGCCATCGAGGGGGCGGAGCTCACTGGACCAATGAGGCAGCTCAGAAGGGTTTAGGGTTTAGGGTTTAGGGATTAGGGTTTAGGGTTTAGGGTTTTAGGGTTTAGGGTTTAGGGCTTCGGCAACCCAAGTCCCCTTGCGCGAACAGACCTTTGAGGGCTTGCCCGCGTAGGCGATGTGTACCTTGGGGACGACACGAACCCTAAGTTGGGGTCATCTACCCGATACTACTACAATCCCAAAATAAGGTCTTGGCGTTTAGGATTTGGGTTTTGGGGTTCATAAACTCTTCTTAGGCCCCATGTCGTATGGGGCAAGTAGGGAGACTGGAGAGAGCGAGTGGGCCAAGGTATTGCCTGGTGCTGTATGTTGTGGAGGGGACAGTCCTGCGGGTGATGCTGACCCACAGCAGCCATGGCTTGCAGCGGCTCGAGGCGGGGAGCTTCTTGGGAAAGTGAGTGGGGTTCTTGGGCTCCCCAAAATGGGGGTCATCTCCCCGGACTGCGACAAAATTCCTATCAAGGCATACATGATACGAACCAGAAGCCCCTTTCGGGGTTCACGTAGCTCCCAAGGAAAGAACTGGCTGTTCAGCAGGAAGCAAAGAGAGAAACTGAGGCAGAGAGAGAGAGAGAGAGCTCCCACGAAGGCGAAGACATGAGAAGCTAATGTCCGAGCCGAGCCTGAAGGGGCGGGTCTATAGTCCTCGGGGTCCAGATGAACCTTAAGTTTCTAATTCAGGAAGCATCCGCCTGCGGGCGTTCCACCGCCAACTTGAAGAAGAAGAAGAAGGAGCTCCTTGCAAGAAGCGCGTTCGGGGTATAGGGTTTACTTGTAAAAGGGTTTGGGGTTGAGGATTCCGGTTTTGGGGTGGGAGGGTTTCTTAGTGAGGAGTGGCGCCATCAACCCCACAAGACCCTCAGCAGTTTCTTGGCTTGGGATTCCTAACTTCCCAGAAGAAGCCTATTCAAACCCGAAATCCTGAACCCACATTCCATGGCCACACCAACACAATCCTGTCTCCTCTCAGCTGCTCGATGCTTGGGCCCCGGGTTTTCTTCTCAACTCTCATACGTTCCAAACCCCAAACCGTAAACCCTACACCCTAAACCCTAAACCCTAAACCCTAAACCCTAAACCCTAAACCCCCTACCCGAAGCTTTGCCCTGCATTTTGGCTGGTGCCTGGCACCCTCAGCATCCCTGGGGCCCTAAACTTCTGCCCCCGTTAAGCCCTCGGAGTTGTCAACCGTAAACCCGAAACCCGAAAACCCTAAACCCTAAACCCGCAACCCTAACCTACTATTTGAATCAAAGACTAGTCCCTATATTACCCTTAGTAAGGAAGAATATTTTTTTCCCGGGCCCCTAAGCCAACACCCGACCAGCCCTTCGTAAGACCCCACGCCTCATGAAACCCATAAACCCCAAACCCTAAACGCTAAACCCTAAACCCCAAACCCCAGACAGCGCCGAGCAAACCCCAAACCCCAAACCCTAAACCCTAAACCCTAAACCCCAAACCCTAAACCCTAAACCCCAAACCCCAAACCCCAAACCCCAAACCCTAAACCCTAAACCCTAAACCCTAAACCACTTAGGCCCCAGGGGCCCGAACAGCCCAGGTTTCTAGCCACCTTTGCTCGCGCCTCATCGCGGGAGCGCATCACCTCCCTGGAGGCGTAGGGTTTAGGGTTTAGGGTTTAGGGTTTAGGGTTTAGGGTTTAGGGTTTAGGGTTTAGGGTTTAGGGTTTAGGGTTTAGGGTTTAGGGATTTACGCAGAAGGTTCCAACATGGGTTCAGGATGTATGTAGAGTTCAGGGATTAGAGTTTAGGGTTCAACGAAGGGGTTTGGGTTCTATGTATAGGTTTTCGAGCATCTCGTTCCAGCTTGACGAGAAGGGGACACCAGCAAAACCGCGAGTCCCAAACCCTGAACCCCGAAACCCCAGCCCTAAACCCTAAATCCTAAACCCTAAACCCCAAACCCTAAACCCTAAACCCTCTTCAAGCCCAGCTCGCATCGAGCTCGCATCATGATGGCATCGAGAGAGGAGTGCTTCAAGCCGAGGGAGGGGAATCGCAAAAAACATGGAACTCTTCTCCTATTCACGTCATGGGTGTAGGGTGTAGGGTTTAGGGTTTAGGGTTTAGGGTTTAGGGTTTAGGTGGGTTTCCCTACATGGGGAGCGGAAAAAGCTGGGTAGCCTTTTGAAGACCAATCCCTTACACAGCCATGGGTGGCCTTCATAAGGCCTAAACCCTAAACTAACTAGCTCCCCCTCTCTCTCACGCTTTTCTGTGAAACCCGATGTACATGTGTGTGTGAATCATCCCACACCCGGCACGCGAAGGCCTCAAGCGCTCTTACCCTGAACCCTGTAACTCCTAAACTCAAAGCCTTAAACTCCACAACCCTAAACCCTAACGGGCAGCGGCTTTGTGTTTCAAGCGTGGCTTGCATCTTTGTCCAAAAACTTAGGGTTTAGGGTTAAGGGTTTAGGGTTTAGGGTTTAGGGTTCAGGCAGGCACGTACCGTTGGGTATGTGCCGGTCCAGACGGGGGCCCCCATTTCCTGGACCCGAAATCGGATTTTGGAGTTCGCAAACTGCAAGCCTCCCGAGTATGTGCTTGTCATGCTGCCGTTGTTTGGGCCTGTGTAGGCGTAAGTCCCAAACCAGACCCCTGACCCCTAAACACCTGACCCCAAACCAAACATAAGAACCGAAGTTCTCTAACCCCTGCAGAAGTGCGAAGAGAGCCAAAACCCAATGGCCCACGCTCGGATACCCGCCTCCACCCCCCCCTTGTCTGGAAGCCCGTCATACAAGCTTGTCCCTCAACCCTTAACCTCCTGAGGCCTTTGAGCGCATTTTTGCCCGCGTTGAAACTCAGAAGGCCTGTTGTCGCAGGGGTTTGAGGTCCTTCCTACAGCTGAGGGGTTTCGGGTTTTAGGGGGTTTCGGGCTGTAGGGGTTAAGGGTTTTAGGGATTTAGGCCCCCAGGGTTTGGGGACTTAGGGTTGAAGGGCTTTACAGTACTGGCTTTTTAAGGTTCTCGTTGGTTCAGGGGGCTTTAGTGGCTTTAGGGTCTTTAGGGAAACTGCGATCCTTTCACCCGCTGCTATCATCCCTGCATGGGTATGTGAGCAACAGACCCCAGTAGGTGAAAGCGTATGGGGCCTCAACCCTAAACCCACAAGGTCCAAGGCTCTTGAAAACATCTAGGGCGTTGAAAGCAGCCTCAGGGGACCAAATGAAGCCCAAAAGGGAGTTTATGGTTCCAATTCGGGGATTTTGGTAATACAGGGCACATGACCCCGTCCATTTGCCTCCACCCCCCAGCCACAAACTTTCGCATACCCGTGAGTCTTGAGGCGGTCAAAGTTCTGCAAGTCTACCCCAGCCCTACAAGCCCACTAATTGCTTAAGAGTCCCGAAAAATTAAGAATATTCTTCCTTATAAAGGGTAATATGGGATTATTCTTCTTTATTCTTTTGGGTTCTTAAGCAAATAGTAGAAGCTCACAGCCCTAAATCGTAGGTCCATCACTTCGGGGTCGCCTCCTCCCCCTCCTACTAATACTGAGATGTGGTCTTTGGTCTAGGGTTTACAGGGTTTAGGGTTTAAAGTTTAGGGTTTGTAGGGTTTAGGAAGGTTAGGGTTTAGGGTAAAGAACGGGATGCCTCCGTCAATATGGTGGGGGTGAACATCTGGAAAGACTTGAGCCCGGTAGCAAAAGGGTAAAAGTGTTCTCGAAACCCCACCTCCCGAAATTCCACCCGAAGGGTCCATGTACCTCATTACGCCATACTTGGGCCTCAAAGGCCCTATGTAGGAAGTATCTTATAGATCATGGGGTCTCCTACCCCACCGTCTTTGCCCCCATATTCAAGGCTATTCAGCCTACTCAAGTGCGGCGGTGTAATACCTCGTTTCTGCGACTTTTCTTTGGGGGGGGGGGGGGGGGGCAGTGGGCGGTGGTGGGGGCGGGGGGGGGGGCGGTGGGGGGGGGGCGGTGGGGGGGGCGGTAAGGGGGCGGGGGGGGCGGGGGGGCAGTGGGGGTTGGGGGGGCGGGGGGGGGTGGGGTGGGTGGGGTGGGGGGGGGGGATGGGGAGGGGTGGGGGGGGGTGGGGAGGGGTGGGGGGTTCGCGACCATGCCCAACACACGTCCCACAAAAACCGTCAAAGTCCTGAAATTTGGCAAATGCGTTTTCGGAAATGCAAGCCTCCAAAAAACACAGCTGCAGAGGCTGTCTTGGCAGAAATGCATGAAAACATCGCAAATTACAGTGTTTGCCGCGCGTGCACACAGCAAAGCTGTGAGACTCGCGTCACGACTGCACACACAGCAAAGGAAAAGTCCCAGAGCGCTCAAGGCCCCAACAACAAAACGACCCGAACATCTTGCAAAAACCCAACGTTTCGCAAAAACGACTTACGAAATCACGCTTTTCTAAAACCTCCCAAAATAGGCCTGTCGCTGGGCGAAACGCTAACTTTCACCAAAAATAGGGTACGGTTTCCACGGCAGCGGGTTCTTTAAGGGGGAACCTGGGGCGGGGGGGGGGGGGGGGGGGGTAGTATAAATAGCCTTAACAGGGCTCAATCTTCTCTAAAATAGTTTTATTGGGAGGCGAACTTGGGTAGCCCTAAACCCTAGAACCTAAACCCTAAACCCTATAGAGGGGGTAGTAGGGAAACCCATGAAAAGATGCCCTCGCAGCGGCCCAGGGCTGCCGCGATGCATTGGCCGCTGTCGTCGCCGTCAGAGAGAGTTGGCTGCATCGCAGGCCGGGTGGTTCAGACAGGTTTAGGGTTTAGGGTTTAGGGTTTAGGGTTTAGGGTTTAGGGGTAAAGGGGTTTCGTGCTAAGTTGGGAGGTCACATTGTTTCCTTCCGCAATCCCCGAGGGGCCTATACAGGGAAATGTGCAGGTACCTAACTAGTTAGTTCCCTACAGACCCTAAGCTTTCTGTGGTCTCGCGCAGACCTCGCCCCTTTTTTGAATTTGGGATGATGAAGTGGCCCCACCAAGCTATACTTGGGGGTTTCCGAAAATAGGGGACCCCTAACATAGACCCCAAATAGTAGGATTCCCTTATAATCAGGACCCCAATAAGGTACCCCTTATATCGTAAGCCCCCCCATATGGAGAGACATTGAGTTTTTAAACGCTGCACGTAGCCCACCTCAGTCTGGCCCATTTTTAAAGGGGCGTTGAGGCCTGGGGTGGTCAGGCATCAGGGTGCGGTTTAGGGTTTTAGGGTTTAGGGCTTAGCTTTGGGAAGAGGAGCCCTGACCACAGGGTGTAGGGCCTAGCTTTGGGAAAAGGAGGGGCTTGTAGGTTTAGGGTTTAGGGCTTCGAGTTTAGGGCTCATGCTTTGGAGGGGGTTGTATAGGGACCTCTAAACGCCACACAGAGGCCGAGGCGAATGTATCGTTCACTCCTTTCCACATTAAACAAGAGATCTTGGCGGTGTCTGCGGTTAGAGTTTAGGGTTTAAGGTTTAAGGTTTAGGGTTTAGGGTTTAGGGGTTTGGGTTTAGGGTTCATGTACCTCATCAATATATACTTGTGCCTCAAAGGCCCTTTATAGGAAGTACTTTTAGGGTTCTATAGACACAGATATATAGGTATAGGCATAGAGATCTAGATAGATATATATATATATATATGCTCGCCCCCCCTCCCAAGATCCACCCTTCGAGTGCTCGTAGTCTTGACTTTCCTGACGTCTACTGTCGGGTTAAGGTTTAAAGGTTTAGGGTTTTAAGATTTAGGCATTTAAACATAAGCCGACAATTGCACCTAAGCCCTTCACCTGTAAAACCCAATGGGGTTAAGGTTTAAAGGTTTAGGGTTTCAGATTCAGGCACTTTAACCTAAGCCCATAGAGTTTAAACCGCAAGGGTTTAAGGTTCAGGCATTTAAGATATGTATGAGTTGGTAGCTGAATCTTTGCTGGAAGGAGTTTTTGTCACACAACGCATTGCTTATAAGCAATAAGTTTGCTTATAACAGGGGCCAGGGGGGGCGGGGGGGTCAGGGGTGACCCCTGAACACCCCCCACACCCTGCCCCCTTGCTGCGCTCCTGTTTTTGTTTCAAGGCTTACTTTCTTAAATAGTACCCTAGTGGTTAAGGTTGTAGGGCTTTCAAGGGCAGGGTTTAGCAATTAAGCCTCACCCCTTGACTTTTAAAAACTCTATAGGGTTAAGGTTGACAGTTTTGTAGGTTAAGATTTAGACATTCAAACCCAAGCGGGCAATTAAAGCTTAATTCCTAACTTTTAAGCCCTATAGAGCTAAGGGCTTAGGCATTTTACGCCTAAACCCATAGAGTAAGTTGTTTTAAGGGTCTGAAGGGCGCTGAAGGTACACACGCCCAGACCTTAGATTTTTACTAGTAAACCCTATAGGGTTTAAAGGTGCAGGGTTTAAGGTTTGAGCATGACCTATAACATTAGAAGCTTATAGCCCTATGGGGCTTGAGGCTTCAGGTATGCCTATGTTTGTAGGGCTTGCACCCCGGGGGACGCGAGAATACTGTGAGCAAATGTCCTTTCACTACATCCTGGAATTCTCAAGATATAAACAAACCAACCGACATTGGATAGAATTCAGGTGTTGCTTATCGGGAGATGATTGCCTGAGATATCTTAGCTATGGTATAGTTTTTAGGATAGTGTTCTGTTTTGCTTATTGGGGTGTGATGGCTTAAGATATGATAGCTACAGTGTTTAATATAATTAGAGGTCAGGTTTTGCTTACGGGGGGATGATGGGTTGAGATATGTTCGCGAAGTTATAATTTTTATGGTTGATTGCTTAAGATACTGCAAGACCTCGAGGAGATATATAGTTCTGGAAAAAATTGGTTTTTGGGGACAGTACAGCACATTATTGGTACCTGCAAGCAAAAAATAGGGACAGTACAGCACTTCTGCAGTCTCAAGAGGCGAAAGTGCTGTACTGTCCCTATTTTTTGCTTGCAGGTACCAATAAAGTGCCGTACTGTCCCTAAAAAACCTAAAAAACCAATCTTTTGGGAACTACCGGGGGCTCCAGGGCTGGTAGTGCTGGAAAGATTGGTTTTTTAGGTTTTTTAGGGACAGTACAGCACTTTATTGGTACCTGCAAGCAAAAAATAGGGACAGTACGGCACTTCTGCAGTCTGGAGAGGCGAAAGTGCTGTACTGTCCCTATTTTCTCGTCCCCAGGCAAGCAAAAAATAGGGACAGTACAGCACTTCTGCAATCTGAAGAAGCGAAAGTGCTGTACTGTCCCTATTTTTTGCTTGCAGGTACCAATAAAGTGCCGTACTGTCCCTAAAAAACCTAAAAAACCAATCTTTTGGGAACTACCGGGGGCTCCAGGGCTGGTAGTGCTGGAAAGATTGGTTTTTTAGGTTTTTTAGGGACAGTACAGCACTTTATTGGCACCTGCAAGCAAAAAATAGGGACAGTACGGCACTTCTGCAGTCTGGAGAGGCGAAGTGCTGTACTGTCCCTATTTTCTCGTCTCCAGGCAAGCAAAAAATAGGGACAGTACAGCACTTCTGCAGTCTCAAAAGGCGGAAGTGCTGTACTGTCCCTATTTTTTGCTTGCAGGTACCAATAAAGTGCCGTACTGTCCCTAAAAAACCTAAAAAACCAATCTTTTGGGAACTATCGGGGGCTCCAGGGCTGGTAGTGCTGGAAAGATTGGTTTTTTAGGTTTTTTAGGGACAGTACAGCACTTTATTGGTACCTGCAAGCAAAAAATAGGGACAGTACGGCACTTCTGCAGTCTGGAGAGGCGAAAGTGCTGTACTGTCCCTATTTTCTCGTCCCCAGGCAAGCAAAAAATAGGGACAGTACAGCACTTCTGCAGTCTGGAGAGGCGAAAGTGCTGTACTGTCCCTATTTTTTGCTTGCCAGGCAAGCCAAAAAATAGGGACAGTACAGCACTTCTGCGGTATGGACAGGCGAAAGTCATGTTTCCATTGCTTGGGTTTCAGGCAAGCCATATTCGCATTTCGCAGACACAGAACGAAGTCGGTAACACCAGAAACGAACCACCAGATCCTGGTAGTCCATTTCTGGCATCTGCATGCACACATCGCTGTAAGAAAGAAGTATGAAACAATCGTTTTAACAGGAAAACCCTCGGTATTTGCAGCGTTTTCTGCATCTGCATGTATAAGAAAGAGTACATATATGGAGTGAGGAGATTCTGAACAGCCTTGGGGGTGGATCTTGGGGGGGGGGCGACCATATATATATATATATATATGTATTATACTGTTCTTGTGTCGGGACTCACATATGTGTACTGTCCGCAGTATGGTGCAATATTTTTTGCGTACATACAACATTTCCAAGCCCTGGCACAGGTCCTTGGTCCGTGGGCAGATGCTTGGCCAAGCTAGTCGCAAGTATCAGAGACGCGGGCTAAGTTCTATTGTACAGGTGCAAGTAGCCTCGTGGCGCTTTAGGGTTCAGGATTTAGGGCTTGGGGTGTAGCCGAATGCTGGCTGCACAGGCGAGTTCGGTGACAACTTGGGCGTAGCACTGTGGTTTGCGCTGAGCCGGGTGAAATCGTCGTCTAGTTCATAGAGCCGACTTTTTTTGAGACACCAAGGATGATTTTCTGTTATCACTGCATCGGACTGCGGCAACTGAGGCCGGAATCTTCTTTTTCGCATGGCTTAGGTCATGTGGCCCTGACTAAAATATGTTCAGGGCAAGTCCTCTCCGCCCGGCCGATATACAGAAGGCCTAGAGAGACCCTAAACCCTAAAGCCTAAACCCTAAACCCTAAACCCTAAACTAGAGAGATATTGTACATGTTTACGTGTTTATGCCTGCTTTTACTTTTGCTCGAGTAAGCCGATGAGTAGATAGATCGAGTGGGCGTGACTTTCTCTGTGGAACCTGCCTTTTCATTGTTAAAGCATCAAGAAGGGTTTAGGTTTTCGGGTTTCGGGTTTAGGGTTTATTTTGGGGTTTAGCCAACGCAAGGTCCTATTCTACAGCTCCAAGTCAAAGCAACTCTTGGCTCGAAAAAAAACTTAAACAAGCGGCATCGTTTTTTTCGGGTTTAGGGTTTAGGGTTTAGAGTTCAGGGTTTAGGGTTTAGGGCTGCACTCACGGGTTTATGTGTTTGACTTGAACAACCGAACTGTTCGTTCATATTGGGCTTTTTGGGGTTTCGGTTCTTGATTCAGTACTTGTGATTTGGAGCCATGTGTGCCGGAGATGTCATGTTGTGAAGCGGATCACCTACTGAAACCCTGCCTTGCCATACCTTATGCGAGCGTGGGAGGGCGTGGGGTGGGGAAGGGGGGGGGGGGGGAACTCTAAACCCTAAACCCTAAGCCCTAAACCCTAAACCCTAAACCCTAAGCCCTAAACCCTAAGCCCTAAGCCCTAAGCCCTATGCCCTCAACCCAACACCCTGCTCCCAGGTTTAGGAGGTGAGCGTCTGCGTCAGAGAACCCGCCTAGGGGAGCAATGCCCCAGAACATGCCGGTATAGATTTGGAGACCTTCTCTCATAACACTCAACTTTCGGTGGCTTCCATGGCAGAAGTACCCCAGTTACGTGAGAGGGGATGCTTGGGCCGCAAGATTTCGAGTGTGAGGGGGGGCTCTTGGGCTGCTATCCGAACCCCCCCAGGAAATGTCAACTCCCAGCCTTCAACCCCTCGATGCAAGCCAGGTATGCCCGCGGTTTAGGGTTTAGGGTTTAGGGTTTAGGGTTTAGGGTTTAGGGTTTAGGGTTTAGGGTTTAGGGTTTAGGTTTGGGGTTTGGGGTTTGGGGTTTGGGGTTTGGGGTTTGGGGTTTGGGGTTTGGGGTTTGGGCCGATAGACCTTACCCTCTGCGGCCAGGCCTGAAGTCATCTGGCACATCTTGGAGTTCGCAGGCGCTGGCATCTGGTCGGAGGAGGCTGGGACCCCTACAACCTCAACCCCCAAACCCGAACCCCCAAACCCCAAACCCCGAACCCCGAACCCCAAACCCCAAACCCCAAACCCTAAACCCTAAACCCTAGGCCATGCAGGGTTTGGGGTTCAGTGTCAGGAAAGCCCCGATGGCATGGATTAGGCCACGTAGGCCCTTTGACAGGCAAACGGGAGCGAGGGAGTCGCGCTGCGCTGGCTCCCCGTTCGCTTTCACACAACGGTAAAGGCCACGTAGGCCCTTCAAACTATGCGACATTGGCCCGATTACTGAGGTATTTTGAAAAAGAGTCGAACAGCGAAACGTTTCGTTGAAAGCGTTTCGTTGAAAATTTTTCAGAGGGTGTGAAGTGCCAGCCTACTGTTTTATGGGTTATACCTCCTAATCAAGTGGAGCTGCTGCGAAGCTGTAGGTAAATAGACTTCCAGGTAAACTCCCCGGTCTTTGGCCGCAGGCAGTCGTCGCCAACAACCCCCTGGTTCTTAGCAGGGAATGGAGGGCCCTACAAAATCCCTTAAAGGGAAAATATAGGGCCCTCATTCCCTCATTCCCTACAAAGAACCAGCCAGACCAAAAAAAAAGTGCTGGGTCGCATTTGTCACAATCGCGTCTGGCCTAGGCGCTCCCCTGGCCGCGCTCGCCGTCGTGTCAAAATTTTGGACTTCGTTTAGGGTTTAGGGTTTAGAGTTTATGGTTTAGGGTTTGGGGTTTGGAGTTTGGGTTTGTCATCGCTTTTTGTTTCCTGACTCGTCTCATCCAGCTTTCGCCGGCTGCAAGTCACAGCCGACCGACTCCCAGGCCGGATGTAAGTTGGCTCCGGCCTAAGACTCTTAGGGTAGTTACCTGTGCCCTTACTGTGGTCCCTCCTTCAAGGTTTCTGATGTATGGGCCCTTAATTGGTATAGGGTATTGTAAAGGGTTAATAAGGGGTATATAAAGGTGGACCATGTAACTACCCTTAGACTGGACCCCCCGGCTGTGAACCTCTGACCCGTCAGTGGTGTATGTTCTTTGTTCTGTTGCGTCTGTGGAGAGCTGTCGTGCTCTTGGAATGCATCCATTTGGAATGCTCCCCCGTATACTATGTCTTACACTTAGAGTCCTTACTTGGGACTAGGGGTACTATAAGGGGGAACATCCCAAAATGCTCCCATGGTGCTCGGTGAGCTCTGGGGGTGCGATGGCACCCTTTACCTACAGTTTCATGGGTTATACCTACTAGCTAAAGGTAGTTACTACTAATCGGTAGTAAATACAGTCCCAGGTACTTGTAGACCTGAAAGCGCCTGTCATCCATCATTTGCTGCTACCCTGCATGAGATGGATCCTATGCTTAGAGACCGACCTGTGTGCCCTGAAAGCCACTCCCAGCATCCTTCCCTAAACCACTCCATACCTTGGTAACAGTCCTGAACAGGGATTATCATAGGGGGTACTACAATCCCTACTAAGGACGGATAGTATAAGGGGAAAAAAACTCCATACCCTAAACCCTATGCGGGTGGCAAAAAACCCCAAGCCCTAAAACCCCCAAGGCCCAAGGCCTGGCCTTGTACCCTAAAGCTTGGGATGTTCCCCCCTTGTTCCCACAGTCCTTAGTAGGCATTATCATGGGTACGATGCTCCCTATTGAGTATAAGGGGGAGCATCCCAACCCTAAAGCCTCAATCGATCCAGAGGATGCATGCAGCGACAAGGCCGCGCGTGTTTCGCTTGGGGTTTTCCATTCGGGGCTTGAGGGTTTGGGATTTAGGGCTTAGGGTTTGCAGGGGTTCGGGATTTAGGGTGCGCATTCGGGGGTATGTAGCATTTGGGTGTCCAGGGTGTTGCATCAGTCTATTTCGGCGGTTCATGGGCTACCTGCCTCGGCCTGAAAGATGGCACCCTGAACTCTATAAACCCTAAGTAAGGATTTGGAGTTGCCCTAAACCCTAAACCCTAAACCCAAGCGTAGTCTGATGGCCAGGTTGTGTTTGGTGCTTGGGTTGTACAGGGTTTAGGGCTCAGGAGTTAGTGTCCGGCCTTGCGGACCAAAGGAACCCGAAAGGGTTTAGGGTTCGTGCCACGGTTTAGGGTTTAGGGTTTAGAGTTTAGGCTGGGAATTATGGTAGCATAGGGTACATGACCCCAACTGTGGGGTTCTTGTTTTCTCAGAGGATGTCATGACATTTGAAGCCATCACGAGGAAAGTGTTTTTCGGGAGGGTTTAGGGTCTAAGGTTTAGGGTTTAGGGTTTTGGGTTTAGGGTTTAGGGTTTAGGGCGGCATGGGGTCGCAATCCCGCAAGGACTCTGCAAGCAGCAGTTCCCTGACCAGCATCGACTTCGTGAAGCGAAAGCTATACTCTTTTTTGCACCCAGCTTGAAGGGTTTAGAAGTTGGGACTAGGGTTTCTCACAGGCAATCGAGCCAGTCAGCCCTCATGCTGCCCGTTCCTCTTTTGCCTTCGATTTCATCGCCCGGCCGTTGGGTACACCGTTCCGCGCTAGACAGTACTTGGTCCCACAGCTAGTTCAACTCCCCGATTTCTCTAAATATCCCCCCTAAAGGGGAAAATCTTGGGGGGATCTACGGAACCAAAGTTTCCTACTACGACTTCCATTGGTCGTGGCCCTATGGGGCACCTTGGAACAAGGCCTCGTTCCCGCATGTATGCTGCGGTTGCTTGTGCCTGGCTAAGGGCAGTACCTCCTTTCAAAGGGTTCTGACGTATGGGCCCGTGGGTTGTACAGGGTACATAAGGGGTATATAAGGGCGCCCCCTTTAAGGGCCCATACTTTACTAAGGGACCATGTAGCTTCCCAACGAGCTTTTCCTGGGGACCACCTGACGCCTAAATTTGAGGAAGTCACTATACCCTTTTGCAACTAGAATCCCTGATACGGTAATCTGAGCCATAGACCCCTTGAAGGTTCATTTGGTCCCCAAACACTGTGTTTTATGCGCTTCTCACCCCGCCAAGTGCACACTGCCATCATGTACAGACGAATCTGGAGGAGAATATCACGCACAAAGCTCAACGCTTCCCCCGGCCATACAACTTATTCAGAGAAGGCCCTATAAACCGTATAAACCCTAAACCCTAAACCGTAAACCCTAACCCCTACACATCACCGAGACATAAGATTAAAGGAGCTGTGGTTATGAGAGAGTCAGCGTTCAACAGTAGAAGGCTCCAGAGTTCAGCCCCAAACCCTAAACCCTCAACCCTTCATCCTCTACAATTCCTTAGAGACCATTAGTTAGGGTCTAGGGTCCGGGGTTTAGCGAAGTGTTAGACTCTCAAGGTCTTGAGGAACTTACGACCGGTGGGGCTTCGGAATCTTACTGTCTGGGTTTAGGGTTTGGGGTTTGGGGTTTAGGGTTTAGGGTTTAGAGTTTAGGGTTTAGGGTTTAGAGTTTAGGGTTTAATTAGGGTTTTAGGGAGTGCAGTCAGAGGATCACCAAGAGCAAAGGCGGAAGCGATGACCTACGATGTGGCGTGAACTTGTCAGAGCTTTTTTTCTTTGGCCGAGTCATCTGAACACATGCAAGGCCCAGAGGGTTCACTTGTCTCGGACGCCCAGTCGAAGCCCGTTCCTGCCCTTGGTCCAGAGCATTCGTTGACTAGCCTCTTCTTTACTCGGTAGTCGTTCAAGGGCCATCCTATTTTTTTCATCAGAAAAAAAGGCCTTCCGTATTCCTATGTCACTGGGCACCCTGGTTTTTTTTTGAGGCAAGGTTGAAGCGCAGCTCCTGCGCAAGTACATCGCAAACATGGACTCAACGCAACGAGACGTGAGTTCTGTACCATCATGGCGCGGACGGAAAAGGAGTCAGGTTTAGGGTTTACGTGTGACTCGCAAAGCCACAAATTCGCAGGCCAGAAGCCTCGAAATATGAGGGCAAAAGCCCCCCAAAAGAGTAGGGAAGATGGAGTCCCCAGGTAGGGTTTAGGGAACCTACGCCCTCCAGACAAGCCCCGTAAAATAGACTCTCATGCCACGGCTCCCTAAATTAGGGTTTAGGGTTTGGGGTTTAGGGTTTAGGGTTCGGATCAACGATTCGTCATCCGGCATGCATACGCATGTACACAAGGACTTGGACCGGGAATAGGCCCTTATTTCCTTTTTTTAGGGTTGGGGTGTCCCTCATAATCCCCTCCAAAGCAAAACGGGCACCCTTTTCATTTCTAGATTACTCCCGGGTCTAGACAATAAATAAGTTAGATCATAAAGGCCCGCGCCCCCTGAATCAACCCATGAACCCTACATCCGAGTAGATTTGGGAGTCGGCTTCTCGGGGTAAAGAACCCTAAACCCTAAACCCTAAACCCTAAAGAACATGGGGCGGAGTGACTTTTCCTGGGAATCCCTCAACCTTAACCCACAAAACCCTAAACGCCTTGAGCGCAAGCCTTAGCCCATCTAGGCTCATGCTATTCCTTGGTTGAGGGGTTAGTGTCTTGTCTGCTAAACCCTAAACCCTAAACCCGAAACCCTAAACCCTAAACCCTAAACCCTAAACCCTAAACCCCAAGGACGCAAGTAAAAGCGGTTCTTGGTTTTGGGGTTGCAGGGATGCCTAGGACCCAGAGTCGGCCCTTATTCCTTTTTTTAGGTTTAGGGTTTAGGGTTTAGGGTTTAGGGTTTAGAGTTTAGGGTTTAGGGCTTAGATTCAGGTTCCCTGAGAGAAGCCCTTTAAAAGCAAAAAAGGCCCCCGTTTTTTGATTCTAGGCTACTCTTGGGTCACCCTACACCCTAAATCCCTCAGATCATGCAGCAGAAACCCTAAACCCTCCTAAACCCTAAACCCTAAACCCTAAACCCTAAACCCTAAACCCTAAACCCTAAACCCTAAACCCTAACGATAGCGCACGTCGACTTCGCAGGAGCTCCTGTCGTCTGAGGAGATCAAGGCCGCGAAAAGGGCACAGAGCTGACCTTCGAAACCCTACACCTCAAAGCCTAGGGGTTTAGGGTTTAGGGCATGGGGTTTAGGGTTTGGGGTTTGGGGTTTAGGGTTTAGGGTTTGGGGCTAGAAACCCGAAGCCCAATTCCTATTTGCAGGAAGCCAAGGAGGAGGTGTAAAGAGAAGCAGCTGTATCATCCGCCGTCAGTTGTTTAGAAACGCAAGGGTTTAACAACCCAAGTATAACCCTATTAGGGTACTTAAGGGGCTTATAAGTGGGTTATAACTACACGTATTATTGGGTTATACGTACCCTGAAGCTCCATGTGTCGGTGGTCAATTAGCAGGGTCGGCGTCTCATTCTTGAATGCTAAGCTCTCGTCTTGGGGTTTGCGCGCTGTGCCTTTCGAAGCCTCACTCAGATTTCGATTTGCGTCACGAAGTGCAGAAGTGTCAGAGTGTTGCTAGGTAGGCCTTTTGGGGCATTTTATATTTTCCTTATTTGGGTTTATAGAAGAGGACAACATGTAGGAATATTTTTCAGAGGGCCTATATTCTGCTTATTTGGGTTTAGATAAGAGGACACTATGTAGGCACATGTTTCAGAGGGTCAGGGCCATCCTGGAGTTGGGTAGTTGACAAACTGGAGAAGTGCCCCCCTTTTACCGCTCCCCGCCATAGGATTATCTTAGGGCCACCAGGGAGAGGGAGAGAGAGAGAGAGAGATAGATAGAGAGAGAAATTTAAATAGAGAGGGAGGGAGGGGTGGAGGAGTTGATATAATACGCTTTTTGTGCTCTAAGTATCTCCTATCTTCGTACATGGGTGCATGGGGTTGGGCACCATGCTTTCCACCCAACTTGAAGCACTGAATCCTCTGAACCTAGACCCCACTCCCCAAACACCCTGCAAAGGGGAGGGGGGGGGGGGGGGGGGGGGGGCGCGTTCGAAACCATCCATGGAAACGACACATCGCATGTTAAAGTGGTTTAACGCCGGCCCTGCTGGGTGGAATGTACTCTAAATCTCCACGATTCTTCAAATGGGTGTTTGTGAAGGCTTAAACCCTAACGCAGAAACCCGAACCTTAAAAGGCCGAGAGCTCTTTCCTCGCTATGGAGGCATCTTGTCTGACTGAGGATCTCTGTACACTCCGATTTCTTTTACCCTAAACCCTAAACCTTAAACCCTAAACCCTAAACCCTGGTCTAGCGTTTCAAGTTTCTAGGTACCTGGGTCCTTGAGGTACAGATTTTCGCTGGGTGGCTCTAAGAGTCGAGGATTTCATTTCGGAGCTTCTCACATGGTTTAAAGGGCCACCCAAGTTTGTGCGGTTTAGGGTTTCGGGTTTAGGGTTTAGGGTTTAGAGTTTAGGGTTTAGGGTTTAGGGTTTAGGGGGCTGATTATGGCGCATGGAGAGCTCAAGAGCTCTTATTTTGGGGCTCAGGTGGTAAAGGTTGTGGCAGATCGAGTGCTTAACTGGAGTGTGACCTGGGATTCCCTGGGACACCATTTACGTACAGATTCGTAGTAACTACCCTTAACTAGTAGGTATAGCCCATAAAACGTAGGTAAAGAGGGTCCCAGGTCAGGTGTCTGAAGATTTGGGCTTTCTCCTTTCGCTACTCAGCGTTATAGGACAGAATGCCCTCAGAAAGTGCAAAGCTGATCGCTCTCTCTAGTCATGTCTGTCCCCTGAACACTAAACCCCCTCAACCCCTGAACCCCTCAACCCCTGAACCCCTCAACCCCTCAACCCCTGAATCAACCCCTCAACCCCTGAACCCCTTAACCCCTCAACCCCCAACCCCCTAAACCCCTCAACCCCTCAACCCCTGATCTGCCTTGCTACGAGCTTTCGAAGCCCTAAACCACCCCCCAGAGCTCCGTACTGTTCATGTGGGCCAAAGTTCCGTCTTGTGTTCTGTTTCATTCTTAGGGTTTAGGGTTTAGGGTTTAGGGTTTAGGGTTTAGGGTTTAGGGTTTAGGGGTCTTAAACCGCAAATCCTCATCCCTAGTGTGGTCTTGGCGTTGCATGCTGCGAGGTCCTGCTGTTGTGCCTCCTCGTCCGGAGGACCTTGTCCGGCAGTTCCTTGTAGTTTTGGGAATAGGGTTTAGGGTTTAGGGTTTAGGGTTTAGGTTTAGGGTTTAGGGTTTAGGGTTTAGGGTTTAGGGTTTAGGGTTTAGGGTTTAGGGTTTAGGAAGTGGGGGGATGACAACTGTAGTGGTCACAGTCTCTCTGCACCCTAAGCCCCCCAAACCCCCAAAAGCCCCCTAAGCCCTCCAAGCCCCTGAACCCTCAGCCTCCCCTGCAAGCCCCGCAAGCCCCCCTGCAAGCCCCCAAAGCGACTTAAGTCCCCTAAAAAGCCCTCAACCCTCTAAACCCTAAACCCCAAACCCACAAAAAGGAACCAGCACCTGAGACGACTCGACCTCTCCTCGGCCGGGCCTTCACGTGTGAGGGTTAGAGTTTAGAATTAGAGTTTAGGGTCTTCGGGCCAGGGAGCAGAGGCGGGTCTGAAGGGGCCCCAAACTGGCCTTACAGCATGGGCTAGCAGGCTTGATGGGAGTCACGACAAAAAGGGACCCCTAACATAGACCCCCAAATAGCAGGATTCCCTCAAAATAAGGACCCCAATGAGGCACCCTAATTTCGGTATATATATATATATATATATATAATCCCCCTAACCAGGCTTATAAAAGGGACTTCTTAAGGGGTTTAGAGGGTATCATGGCCCATACAGGTTGCTTCCCAGAGCTGAAGACGACAGCCGAGCGGTGCCCTTTAGCCTTCTTTTTGTATTTTAGGTTCTGGGCTCCCTTAATAAAGTAGCCAACCCCAAAAAGGGTTCAGGATTTAGGGTTTAGGGTTTAGGGTTACTGGGCTACCGAGAAGATGACAGGTCAAAGCCAACATCACTTTGGAGATTGTTAAGGATCTTGTGGCCAGCACCTGGGCAGCTCTGGTGCATGCGGGGGGGCGGTTGAGGGGTTTAGGCTCCAGGGTCTAGGGTCTAGGGTTTAGGGTCAAAAGGGGTTTAATTAAGGTTTAGGGTTTAGGGTGTAGGGTTTAGGCCATGGGAGCGGCCGCACTGTTTATACCTGGGACCCTCTTTACCTACAGGTTTATGGGTTATACCTACCCTTTAAGGGTAGTCACTTCGAATCTGTAGGTAAATAGAGTTGCAGGTAGCCCCTCAGGATTTAGTAAAGCCCTATACCGACTCTACGTTGGACCTTCAGGTACCCAAAGGGTATTGTTGCATACTTGGACTTGGGCTTCAAAGACCCTCAGGAGTACGTTAAGGCCCGAGTACTCCCCGTAAACCCCAAACCCCAAACCCCAAACCCCAAGCCCCAAACCCCAAACCCTAAACCCTAAACCCTAAACCCTAAACCCTAAACCCTAAACCCTAAACCCTGCTGTGCTATACTGAGGTTTGCAGCAGCTGCGCGCCAGTGGCTGCCCGCCCCTGGAGGAGGCTGAAGAACTCGATTCCCTGAAGCGCAGAAGTCTTAGGCGGTTTTGGGTGGTTTTGGGGGGTTTAGGGTTTAGGGTTTAGGGTTTAGGGTTTAGGTTAGGGTTTAGGGTTTAGGGTCTGGGTCTTAGGGGTTTGGTCTTTCCTCAGTCCACGCTTCAAAAAGGTTCAGGGTTTAGGGTTTTAGGGGATGGTTTAGAGTTATCTGCAATCTCCCCTGAGGGTCCATGTACCTAATCGAGAATATTTGGGCCTTGACGCACTTCTTATGTAGGGACTTTGGGGCCCAAGTAGATGGTAGTGAGGGTTTGAGCAGGGACATAGATGGTCAATCCGTTGTGGGGTGTAAAGAATCAATGGGCGCCAGTATCGAGGACGCTGTGGTGTTATTATTGCAAGTTGTCAAGACCAGACATCTGAAAGTGCTTGGGAAAGAGCGGCCCCAGCCAAAAAAGTCAGCTGCTTTGGGTCGTGTGCGGTGAGACTGGATGGGGTCTTGGCACCACTCACCACCAGCCAATCAACCACTGCCACAATCCCGGCAGCCCCTGAACTGATCAGCCCTGAACCCATCTTTCGTCTCTGACCGAAGCCCCAAACCCTATCTGGGACTCTATTTACCTAGAGATGAGTAGTCACTACCCTTAGTTAGTAGGTATAACCCATAAAACTGTAGGTAAAAAAGGTCCCAGGTAAGCCCTACCCTAAACCCTAAACCCACCCTAAATCCTAAACCCTAAGCCCTAAATCCTAAACCCTAAACACTGAACCCCAAAACAAAAACCCCACACAGCTTTGACAAGTTGCAGGTCTCCCTTCCCAACTTGCAGCTCTTCCTTCGGCAGATGGAGGTGGCGCTGCTTCACGCGGGTTTGGGGTTCAGGGTGAGGGGACACGGGTTTAGGAGTTAGGGTTTAGGGTTTAGGGTTTCGGGTTTAGGGTCCGCGGAAGGTTTTAGGCTTGAGGGTTCTGGGAGGTCCAACCCGGAACCCTAAACCCATGGCAACGCGTCGTGGGTATCAGCTATGCATGTGACAAAACAACCTTAAACCCTAAACCCTAAACCCTAAACCCTAAACCCTAAACCTTAGCCTTAAACCCTAAGCTTCGCGTCCCAGGAGGGCACCATTGACAGCCTTGACCTTAGTCGGCCCGCGGCTTACGTCGACCGGTCCACAACGGCCCCGCTGCCGCCTGGCATCTGAAGTGCGTTTCTTGTAGGGTTTAGGGTTTAGGGTTTAGGGTTTAGGGTTTAGGGTTTAGGCTTCAGGGTTTAGGGTTTAGGGTTAGGGTTTTGTGTTTAGGCTTTATAGGGTTTAGGGGTTTAGGGACCTATATAGGAAGTACTTGAATATTTGAGGGCCCAAGTATTCCCTATTTTGGTACATGGACCTTTAGGGTTTGTTTTGAGGAGTTCGGGGCTTCTTGTGGTTCAGGGCTTGGGCTGTTATGGGGGTTTAGGGTCTTGGGGGACAAGGGTTCAGGGCTTAGGGTAGAGCTGATGCAAAAGGGTACAGGGGCTCACGAGTACAGAGTCTCCCTAAACCCTAAACCCTAAACCGTAAACCCTAAACCCTAAACCCTAAACCCTAAACCCTAAACCCTAAACCCTAAACCCTAAACCCTAAACCCTAAACCCTAAACCCTAAACCCTAACTTGCATTTTGAGGCGAAACCCCCAAGCCACGATGCCAACCCGGAGCTCATGCTCAGGGCTGTGCATGGCAAGTGGAGCCACATGAGCCCCTAAAATTGGGGGAGTCATCTCCCCCTATACCACAAGAATCCCTATTAGGGTTTACGATCCCCCCCTATACTACTAGAATCCCTATCAGGTTTTAGGATTTAGGGTTTGGGGTTTGGGGGCAGGGTTCAAAGTTTGGTCCCCAAGGCAGGGGTAGCCATGTGGGCCGTATCAGGCTGGTCTACGCGCTGGAGAGCAGCCGCAGCTTCAATTTGCACCCAGAAGAACTGTGTTGTTTGAGTGTGCCTTCCCAGTTCTTTTGTTAGGGCCTTGCGGGGCTTAAAGGCTTGACAGGGTTTGCTAGGTACTTGGCTCTAAAGAAGGAGGAGGAAAAAAAGAATACATATATATATATATGTATATATATATATATATGAGCTCGGTCTTATTCGCATCTGCTGGCCACCGGGCCCAATGCCCGCATGTCGCTTGGCCCTCAACCCCCCTAAACCCTAAACCCTAAACCCTAAACCCTAAACCCTAAACCCTAAACCATCATCCTTTACCTCGATTGTTCCCTGCGGTGTGTCTCCTTTGAGGGGTCAGCTAGGCGGGTGGCCTAAAAGATACCCCCTAAACCCTAAACCCCCAACCCCAAACCCCAAACCCTAAACCCTAAACCCCAAACCCTAAACCCCAAACCCCAAACCCTAAACCCCAAACCCCAAACCCTAAACCCCAAACCCTAAACCCTAAACCCTAAACCCCAAACCTTGCGGTGCAGACTTGTGTTTCACGTTGGCGCCCGATATTCGCTCTTTGGAGATGGTGCTGCAGAAACCCCAAACCCTAAACCCTAAACCCTAAACCCTCATCCCTTCTCAGGCCGGCTGAAGACCGTGGACTTCCGCAGCAACAGCTTCGAAGCTGAGACTGAGCACGTCATCGACGCGGTGTTGAACCTGGCAAGGGAAGGCGCAGAATTGGGTTTAGGGTTTAGGGTTTAGGGTTTAGGGTTTAGGGTTTAGGGTTTAGGGTTTAGGGTTTAGGGTTTAGGGTTTAGGGTTTAGGGTTTATAGGGATGCCCAGGGAACCTTCAGGGTTTAGGGATGCTCAGGGTTTAGGGTTTAGGTTCTCGGCTCAAAAAGCTTAAGGTCCGCCATGATGGGGTTATAGGGCTTCGTGAACTGATTGGCGCCGGGCTAGAAGGGCAGCAGTCTTTCCAAAGCGCTGCCATCATTGTGGCAGATCGAACCATTCTGCGAGGTTGTTGGTTCCTTTAAGGGGCAGCTCTTGCTGGACGCAGTGCAACCTAACCCTAAACCCTAACCCTAAACCGCTGAATAAACTTGCAACCCGACACGCGACTTCTCAGCAAAGCTACCAGATCCGGAACTCAATCCAACCTACGAAGTAGTGTTGCCTTATTCCCCCCTGTATCATCAATAATTGCACGACAAGCACCCCCCCGCCCCGCCCCCCCCCCCAAAAAAAAAAAAAACAAAAAGCAACAACAACAACAACAACACCTCTAGTTCTTCAGGCACCTACAATTCACCACCGCATGTTGCAGACTTGATTGGGAGGTTGCCTGTCCACCTACAACGGCGTGCCTGTCCAAGGGTCTGATGCAGAAGAGTTTCTCGGAATGCCTGGAATCACCCTAAACCCTAAACCCCTAAATCCTAAACCTATAAACCCTAAACCCTAAACCTAAACCCTAGAACCTAAACCCAAGAGAGTACCATCACAGAAGCAACCCTGGACTCCCAGGCAGCCCAGGGGCCACCCGTTTAGGGTTTAGGGTTTAGGGTTTAGGGTTTTGGGGGAGGTTTGGGATAGCAATAACCAACACCAGAATGCTCTCCGAGCACAGAGGGTGAGCAAGAGAAGGATGCAGAGTACAAGTACGAGGCATTTTGCAAAGTTGGGTGCTTTCTCTGACAGGCAATCTGAGTGGAAACAAAAAATCTGCAAACCTCGTCGTCCAGACACCATGTTGATCTGCAAACCTCGTAGTCCAGACACCATGTTGACTCAGGTTCTCCATGAAGAAGGCGCAGGTCATGAATCACGGAATCTGCGCGGGGGGGCCCGGGCGCAACATCAAGCGACGCTGGTAAAGTGCGAAGCAACTAAGTCGTTGTCTTCAAGAGTGTCAAGCACAAACTGTCTTAAGTCCTAACCGAGCTCTAAGCTGCTATACCTGGCATGTGTATGCATGTGCGTGTGCACGTGTACCTATATGTATATATATATATAGATACATATATACTTTCATTTACTGATTTCTGTGATCTGCATATACATATATTATACATACATACATATGTGTGTGTGTGCTAAGTTGAACGTTTCAGGTCTTCGCCTCGACATACTTGGCGCGCACTTCTGGCCGCTGCGCCGCACGTATGCTAAACCCTAAACCCTAAACCCCTAAACCGTGACTGCTTGCAGTAGGGTTTAGGGTTGAGGGTTTTGTGGATTCATGCAAGCTTTTGTTTTTGTTCGTGCAGATTGGGGCTCTGCAACAATTGCAGGAGCCGTGCTCGTGACTTTCGTGTTCGTTCGTAGTGAGACTCCGGACTTTGCGAGGCTGCGGCATGTCCTGGGGCTCCAACAACTCGCCCTAGGTAGGATAAGGGGGACCCTGAAAAGGGAACCCCTTCTTAACCCTCTTCTGGCTCTCTTAAACAGGGACCTTATTCAGAGGGTCTATATGCCCAAGGGTCCCCCTAATCCTATCCCCTATCTTGCGAGGGTCGTGTTGGGGATTTGGTGTCCTTAGGGACCAAGCGAACCCGAACATTGGGGTCATACACCCTGACTGGACTACTAGAATTGCTATGAAGGTACATGAACCATAAACCCGTTTATCCCAAGGGTTAGTTCGGGTGGAGGATGTAGAGTTCAGGGTGTACAAGTGGGGCAGTGACTCCATACAGCAATCGAGGCTCCATGGTAGTTCGTCTAGCTTAAGAACCCAAAGCCAATTTTTTTGCAGGTAAAGTACCTAAGAATCCTATGAAGGGTACTCCAGTGTGCAGGAGCCAATCACTGAGTGGGGCTAGCGAGAGACTAAGAAGCCGTTACGTTTTCTGTCTTTCCATGCCTTCACGCGGGATCTCTTTTTCAGTGTGGCTAGTCTGTTTGACGGGTGGCAAAAGAAGATGTTCAAGCCCTGCGAAGCCCTAAACCCCAAACCCCAAGCCCTTGAAAACCCTCTAAGCCCTTTGAGGACCACGAATGCTGCCAAACCACAGGGTTTAGGGTTTAGGGTTGAGGGTTTAGGGTTTAGGGTTTAGGGTTTAGGGCCCCCCATGCTTCCCAATCCCTGCCATCCGAGCCCGGGCGCTTCGCACGTTGGACCTCCAAGACTGCGGCTTGGATGGGCGAAGCCTCGGGGATGCTTGGCAGAATGGGTTTCCTTTGAGGGAGGCTTGTAGGGTTTAGGGTTTAGGGTTTGGGGTTTAGGGTTTAGGGTTTAGGGTTTGGGGTTTGGGGTTTGGGGTTTGGGGTTTAGGGGTCTCAGAGCTGTTGGTTTGAAGGCATTCGGGAGGCTTATAGGGTAGGGTTTAGGGTTTAGGGTTTGAGGTTTAGGGTTTAGGGTTTCGGGTTTAGGGTTAAGGGTTAAGGGTTTCGGTTTAGGGGTTTCCGTGCTTTTGGTTTGAGGGCATTCAGAACTCGGAGTGTGGAATCGATGGCATGCTGAGCAGGGTTAGGGCGGAGGCTTCACGATTACATATGCAGTCCCCAGGTTTAGGGTGTAGGGTTTGGGGTTTAGGGTTTGGGTTTAGAAATCCGGGGCCGGCTGGCAGTAGTGCTGCGCAGCACAGTTTCAATCAGATGAAGCAGGCGAATCTAGAAGAAGAGTTGGAGACTTGCAACTCTTCCAAAGCTAGCAATAGCAGCATGTTCCACCAGAATACCCAAAGCCTCAGGTGCTCGCATTCATCACTGGTGTCTTTGTTTGAGTGACCTTCAATAACCCATAGACCTTGCCGCCCGTGTGCGAGAGTGAGCGTCGAAACCCTAAACCCTAAAAGCATCTAAACACCCTATACACCCAAAGCTTAACCCCTGTATGCAAACCCAACGCCCTCAACCCTAATCAAACAACACAGATCCCTATAACCGCAGAACCCTGTAAAAAACCCTACATAACCTAAACTTAAAAACACTGCAACAACCCAAATCCTAATTCAAGCAACCCAGTCATATAGTACACCTATCAACCCTAAACCCTAAACCCTAAATCTTCAGTTAGCCAGCGTAGTACAGGCCTTGCTCTCCGCGTTGCTTCAGTTGAACACAGTGACCTGGCAAGCGATTGTCAAGCTGACCCTAAACCCTAAACCCTAAACCCTAAACCCTAAACCCTAAACCCTAAACCCTAAACCCTAAACCCTAAGCCCTAAGCCCTAAGCCCTAAACCCTAAACCCTAACTCTAAACCCTAAACCCTAAACCCTAGTCCGAAACCCGAAACCCGAAACCTACCCTAAACCCTAAATCTGAGGATAGCCGAGAGTTTAGGGTTAGAGTTTTCAGGGCGTTGGGGCCTAGGACACGCAGCCCGACCCACTTTTTTGGACCTTCTTAGGAGGCTTCCTTCTCTTTGACCCCCTCCCCAAAAAAGAAACTGCAGGTTTAGGGGTTAAGGTAAAGGTTTTAGTGTCTAAAGGAGCTCGCAACGGCAAAAACAAGGGCACAAGCTGGTTTCTCTCTGCTTAGGCTGCTGCAAACCTCTGCGCTGGGTTAAGCCCTAATCCCTGCAAGCGTCGACGCGCGCCGCCCCAGGAAAAAAAAAAGGGCAACTTAACCCACGAAAAAAATGTGGGGGCGCTACGCCCTAAAATATGATAAGCCCCATATCAAGCCCGGTGAGCTCTGAATCCGAAGGGTGGACATGATGTAGGTCGCACGTCCTGGAGGCTCAGGAGCGGCCCCTAGGGCATGGTCATGTTCTGCTAGGATGCCCAGTGGTACCCTTATTGCCTTTTTGGTAGGTTTCGGTTCCCTTATAGACCCCTTTAAGCAAAAAAGGGCACCCTTTTTCATCCTAGGTTACTGGGCAACCTAGTCTGAAGATGCCATGCTAGGAGTTACGGGTTATGGGGGGTTACAGGGCTACAGCTCGGAACCCTAAGCCCTATAAACCCGTAACCCCTGAACCCTCAGCCCCTAAGCCCAACACCCCTAAGCCCCTAAACGACCCGACCCTGAACCCCAAGCCCCTCTAAACCCCTAAGCCCCCAAGCCCCTCCTTCAGAACCCAAAACCTGCTTGTTTGCAGGTTGCCTCAGAATCCCATAAGGGTTTTAGAATACGAACCTTCAAATCAGTAGGTTTTGGGTTCTGAAGGCTGGGCCCTAGACCCTATAGGGTTTGTAAGGTCTGCGCCTCGCTGAGGTAACTTCGCTGGACATCTCGGGGCAGATGTTGAAAAAGGCGCCCGGGAAGGGGGGGGGGGTTCAGTAGTACGTACTGTTGGGTTTAGGGTTAAGATCCTTTCTGAGCGCCTTGAAACGACAAAGGCCGCCCTTTTTCTGCCGGCGCTACTTCTTGGCCAACCTGAAAGTGTGATCATATCCCCACGCTTCTTACCATAATCCCTGCCGTCCGGAGATTACTGCCACAGAGACATGCACTCACTAAGGTATATGGGAGTTTACGAAAATAAGAGACCCCTGTGTATAGGATAGAATCCCCTTAGAGGGGCCAAAAAGGGATCTGCATTCACATGCTCTTACATCTTCAGGTGTGGCATGCAGCTTGCAGCTCATAGTGTAATAATATAGTATAATCATATGATAGCATAAAACTACGTTTTTTTCTCGAAAGTACAAAAGATCACTTTATATATATATATATATATATATTTATATTTATATTTATATATATATAGAGAGAGAGAGTAAGACAATCATGCAAAAACAACAAGCAGTCCATTATATTGTTATACGAGTATTGCGAAATAAGAATGTGATACTAACATAGAAGAATAGAAGAATTTAACGATACAAGAATTCAACAATGGAATGGAACAGATGCTACACAAACATAGTATGCTACCCTAAACCCTAAACCCTAAACCTTAAACCCTAAACCCTTTAAACCCTAAACCCTAGATTCCTAGATCGGCTTTCTTGTTTTTGCCCTCTAAGATCGACGCATCTTGCGAGGCCGCCTTCGAGGGGCTGAGCGGCTTCTTGCGGGCCGACAAGAAGCTAGAGCCACTCGCCTCCCTAAACCCTAAACTTTGCCCTAAAGTCTTTGCTGAGGGCTCGCTACCAACACTTGAGAGCCCGAAGCCGTCCGAGCTTCGCGAGCGACCTGAGAGCACTGAACGTGCAGCCCAGGTAAAGCTGGGGCTGCTGGACGCTCCAAGGCAAGGTAAGGCCCACACTGGCCGTCAAGGCGGTCGAGCCTTTGAGTGTCAAAGGTAAAGACCCTAAACCCAAGACCTTTTGCTGGTGCAACCTGGCCCCCCCCCAAGGACCGTTGCTGGTGCAACCTGGCCCCCCCCCCAAGGACCGTTGCTCGTGCAACCCGGCCCCCCCACCAGATTTGCTGGTGCAACCTTGCACCCCCTCAAGACCATTGCCAGGCTCAGACCGCCCCGGAACCTTTGCGGGGCTTGCTTTTCCCGGACCATTTCCGACCGTTTTTCCCTTTTCCGGACCAAAACTGAGCAATTTGGGCTTCCCAGACCATTTCTTGGCCAGCTTTTCTCCCAGACCAGTTCGGAGCTTTGATTTTTGAGCCTCTTTGGCCTTCTGCCAGCTTTTTTGGGCTTGGCTCAGACCCTTTCTGAGCATTTCTGAGCTCCAGACCATTCCTCAGCCTTTTGGGCTTCTCCCAGACCATTTCTGAGCTTTTTTTCTGCTCTTCCCGACCATTTCTGAGCTTTCTTGGGCTTCGTGCAACCCCCCACCAAAAAATTGCTGGTGCAACCCGGGCCCCCCTCAAGGACCGTTGCCGGGCCCAGACCGCCCCCTGAGCCTTTTTCAAGCCATTTCTTAGCTTGCTTCTCCCCGACCGTGTCGAGCCTTTTTGGGCTCCCCAGACCATTTTTGAGCCTTGGGCTCCTTCTGGGCCTTCTCCCAGACCATTCCTGAGCCTTTTCTGGGCTCCTCCCGAACCATTTCTGGGCTTTTTGGGCTCCTCCATCTTAGGTTTTTGGGCTTCCCCCTGACCATTTCTCCGCGTTTTTGGGCTCTCCCCAGACCATTCCTGAGCCTTTTTGGGCTTCACCCATTTCTGAGCCTTTTTGGTGCTTCTTTTGCAGAAGCTCCCAGGCCATTGAGGAACCTTTTGGGCTCTTTTAAAGGGAAAACTTGCAAACATTTCTTTTGTGTTCACAACAAAGCTTCTCCAAGCCCCCCTCACAAAGGCTTTCGGTAACCTCCAGAAGCATGGGAGGCTCTGGACGCTTCCAGGAGCTTTGAAAGCTTTGGCAGCCTCCAAAAGCTTCGAAAGCCCAAATTCTGACGAGGGAGAGTCGTATCGGGACGCTGGCCCGGTCGAGGGGCATCGCTACCCCTTGGGTAACCCAAACCAATCAGCCACCCCACGACATTTTCACAGCCTTGTCTTGGTCAAGGGAGATCGTATCGGGACGCTGGCCCGGTCGAGGGGCAGCGCTACCCCTTCGGTAACCCAAACCAATCAGCCACCCCACGACATTTTCACAGCCTTGTCTTGGTCAAGGGAGATCGTATCGGGACGCTGGCCCGGTCGAGGGGCAGCGCTACCCCTTCGGTAACCCAAACCAATCAGCCACCCCACGACATTTTCACAGCCTTGTCTTGGTCAAGGGAGATCGTATCGGGACGCTGGCCCGGTCGAGGGGCAGCGCTACCCCTTCGGTAACCCAAACCAATCATCCACCCCCACGACCTTTTCACAGCCTTGTCTTGGTCAAGGGAGAGTCGTATCGGATGCTGGCCCGGTCGAGGGGCAGCGCTCTTCGGTAACCCAAACCAATCAGCCACCCCCACGACCTTTTCTTGGTCATCGGAGAGTCGTATCGGGACGCTGGCCCGGTCGAGGGGCAGCGCTAACCCCAACTGCTTTGTGTCGATGGTTTCCGCGCTGGCAAACGAGGATCGCAGACAAGGGATGCCAAACGCCCGCAAAGAAGCACGTCGGGACGCTGGCCAGGTCGAGGGGCAACGGTACCCCTACGGTAACCCAAACCAATCTGTGAGACCTTTGATGATGAAGGGCTATCCCCCCGACCTTTCACAGCCTAGGGGCAGCGTTTTCCACAACTTCACATCGTTGCAGCCCTGCCTCAGCGAGGCTCAGATCGGGACGGTGCAGAAACAGCGCGCGCAGGGCACAGCATGCCCTCGCTGGAAAAAGCAAAACAAGACTTTAGGAACTAAACCCTAAAATAGATATGCCGGGTGGCTTGGGGTGGGCTTACCGCCACGCGATGTTGCGAGCGACCCGGGCAGAGGGGCCGGTTATAAAAAATAAGGTGAGGCCCCGGAGCCTAGCGAGCAACCCAGAACGTAACACACCCTAAACCCTAAACCCTAAACCCTAAACCCTAAACCCTAAACCCTGTGCTTGAAAGTTGCCCAACCTCGGGGGCCAAATGAGCCCTTTGAACAGGGTTTTTGGCTCATGTACCTGACTTGGGATTCTAGTATAGGGTATACGACCCCATTTGTAGGTTCATCTGGGCCCCCCAAGGAATAGGCAGAGTTTCAAGAAACGCAAAGTCTAGGCAAGCTTGGAATGGGACTCTCGCATCAAGGTGTAGTCCGAACTTTAGGCCCAACAAAGGCTGAGTGCACGTGGCAGGGGTTAGCAAGTTTGAGCATCGAAAGCCTTCATCATAAACCCGAGATTGGGTCTAGGGTCTAGGGTTTCGGGTTTTGAGTTTAGGGTTTAAGGGGCTAGCCGAGCAGATGACATGTCTGCAACACCATCATACCGTTTCCAGTGTTGTAGGGAGGGTCGCCCGCAAGCCTTCGAAATAAGACTCTTACGCACAATTTTATGGGCTATACCGGCTATACCTACTAATTAAGGACAGCTACTATTAAACTGTAGGTGATTAGAGCCCCAGGCATCTCTAACCCAAAAAGCCCTTGGGCAAAGCAAACATCTTGACCGGCCACCCACTTAAAGTCTGCATGCCGAGAACCCTAAACCCGAAACCCTAAACCCTCAACCCTCAACCAGCTCACGGCAGGATCTTGTCTGCTCGTAAGATCGGCGCGCCACGGTACGCTTCGGCGGACGCTTGGCGGGCACGGCAGGAAATAGGCTTGCGCCTTTCAAGCTTGCAGGAGTAGATTGGGCGTCAGCCCTATATACCAAAATGCAATGGCAAATGCCTCTTCCGTACTTTTTCTTACCCAGTGAAGGCTTCTACTAGGGGCCGGTAGTCAAAGAGCTCCAGCTAAGAGAAGCTTCTTACAGGGGATTCAGGTGACGCTGCAGCGTATTCCTGGGTGCCTACGGTTTAGTAGCAAGTACCCCTATTTCGTAGGTGTAGCCCTTAAAACTGTACATAAAATGCAATCCCAGGTTTGGTCTAGGCATCTTGGCGTCCGTCAACATGAATCGGTTTTCCGCTATGAGCAAAGCTTGCCAAGCAATTGAATCTAAGGGTAGTTTCCATGGGCCATGAATATGGTCCCTTACCCCCATTAAAGGGTTCTGATGTATGGGCCCTTGGGTTGTATATGGGGTATCGAAGGGGTATTTAAGGGGGTCTCCGTTTAGGGGCCATACTATGGGACCATGTAACTACCCTGAGAATGAAAGCATCCACCTGCGCAATGCAATTTTTCTATGCAGTGCTTTTGGGGTACAAGGCTTGGAGCGTTTCTGTATGACAGCCTAGAACCCAACACCAAACCGTGAGGGAGTTCCATCATAAATTAGTGTCTCTAGTCCGCTTAGGAATTATTGTCTATTATGTTTAGTTTATGAAGAGCCCTGGCCCTAAACCCTAAACCCATTGAAAGTTATCTGCTTGATGTTCCGGAGCCCAGGAAATGTTGGATTTCGCCAAGGCGATGGAGATCAACAGCGGCTCTGCGAGATGTTGGGGTGTTGGAGGTAGGTCCGTGTTTTGTTTAGGGTTTAGGGTTTAGGGTTTTTGGTTTAGGGTTTAGGGTTTAGGAGTTAGGGTTTAGGGTTTAGGGTTTAGGGTTTAGCCTAGCTGCTGCCACAAGGCTTCCCCTAAACCCTACCTGGAACCCTCTTTGCCTACAGTCTTTATGGGTTTCAAGTACTACTTAAGGGTCGTTACTACTAAACTGTAGGTAAACAGAGTCTCAGGTGAGCCCTAAACCCCTTGATGCTCCACTCAGGTACCCTGGTGGTCCTTGACTTGCGCGAGAACCAGATTCACGGCGGGATTGCGGAACGGCTGAGGCGAACGATGGAGGAGAAGCGACGCCCGCCAAGAGATCGTCAGGGATGATTGTCGGAAGGGCTTCGGACTTTTGTATGGTTGTTCTCTCGGTAGGCCCTGGGGACATTTTATATTTTCCCTGCGGGGGTTCAAGACTAAGAGGATCACATGCAGGAAAAATTTCACAGGATCGTATGCAGGAATATTTTCAGAGGGTTTAGAATGGCCATACTGGCTCTGTGTGACATCGCCCTTGCGAGCCGCAAGAGCAAATGAGACGTCTGGCACGAGTTGCGGTGGTCTCAAAGTACCTTAATAAATACACTACAATACCCCCCCCCAAAAAAAAAAATCAATGAATGCAAAAACAAAACAACCTAATGAGTACAAGGCCCCTTATACTATTAAACTAGGTTACTAGAGTCCCCGGTTCGCAGAGAGAGCTGGCCGCGCGACAGCCCTACACTCCAACCATTGCGTTTGGTCTCCTCAGGAATGATGTAGGTTTTGTGTGTCAGAACCCAAGGGAGAAGTAGTGGTAATTTGCATGACGGTGCTAAGGCGCGTATAGTTTACGAACATAACGAGGTTCAGAGCATGCTTTCGGCGCATGCCATTGTTTGGCTTTCGACTGGCGGGTCGAAAGTCGACACGTTTAGAATTTATAAGGCTTATAGATAGGACTTGGGATGACAAGCCAGCTGCAAAAAAGGGGGTTTAGGGTTTAGGGTTGGGGGGTACGAAGCAAGTCTTCATGAGTTCCAGTTTCGTTGGGCCAGTCAACATGGGCTAACATGGGTCCCAAATTCGGTATGCACCGTCAGCGAGGCAGCACTGTCCCCCTCGCCTTCGACGTGAAGATTTGCTTCCTCCTGTGCCTTTGCCAACTGATTCGGGGCGGATGGGTCACTGATCGCTGCTTGAAACGAACTACCTAGCAGGACAGCATTTTCAAGCATGCTTGAGCTGCCTGATTGCGGGTTTAAGGTAGAATTAGGGCCTCATGGACTCATGTCACAGGGATGATTGCCTCACCCGCCCTGACAAATTCTGCAAACACGTGGCAGAAATCTGCATGGAAACCCTCGCAATGTTGTGAAAACGGTGTTCGTGCAGATAGAAATGGAAACGCCAAGACCTCAAGCTTGTTGCACGAGATACGTTTGTCAGGCTAGAGCCCCACCTCACAGTCCTAGCAGCACCCATAAAATACATATAATACATGTTAAACTTGTAATTAATTCTTAATTACAGAGTTTGTGTTGTTTTTGGTTCTATTCGTAGTTGTGTTTTTCTTAGACACAGCTTAGGTGCAATCGACACCTCCCTGGCCACCTGCAGCTTCCCGAAGTGTCGCAGGCTGCTTGGATGGAAGAACACACCTACCGCTGTTTCGGGCGGGGATCTTCGTAGGGAATGAGGGAATGAGGGCCCTATAGAATCCCTTAAAAGGCATATGTAGGGCCCACATTCCCTCATTCCCTACTCAGAACCAGGGAGGTTTGCTCAAATCTCGGCAACGACGTACACCATCACAGGTACTGAGCAGGAAGAACGAGCGGCAACAGGGGTAAGTTCCAGGTGTAAGTTTTGACCTGCTTGCGGAGCCTTGGCACCCTGAGTGAACCTAGGACGCCCAGTAGTACCCTTATTCCCTTTTTTGGGGGGTTTAGGTTCCCTTATAAACCCCTTTAAGCAAAAAAAGGGCACCCTTTTTAAGCCTTGGTTACTGGGCAGCCTAGAAACACACCTGGGTACTTCTCCAGGTCTTTGAGGCCAGTCGGCTCTACACTGGCGGCGCCCACAGCCCACTGTTCATGCGCCCGGGCCCATTTTGGAGCTACGGTGGACACAACAGTTCCTGCATGACCCTAAGTTCCTTAGGGAATTAGCGTACTATGCAATATTCAGGTCATGCAGAATTTGTATCGACGGTATGTAGGGGGCTGTTGTAGGTGGCGATTTCTACACGTCCAGAACTTGCCACTTCCTCCACGGCATGTCAAGACAGCATTTGGCCAAGGATCACTTCGTTTACGGTTTAATGGTCTCAAGGTTAGGGTTTAAAGCTCAGGGTTTACGGTTTAGGAATGTGCGACGACGAAGAGCACCAGCTGTGGAAATACATTGAGATGGCAAGCTGCTTTAATAATCTGTTGTGAGCCGTGTGTCCCTGACTTGGCACTTCTGGCCCTATTCCCGGTTCAGACACCCAACGAATAGTTATTGTCTTTGCTTTTTGGGTTTTGCCGCTTCGAACACCCCTCAAAAGCTCAGTAGTAGAGTAGGTAACCGTTAACTTTCTTGAGGGTATTATAATCCCTGTAGAATCCCAAAGGTTAACCTTTAGTTCCCCCAGGATACCGGACAGCTAAGAAAGGAGCTAAGCCTAAACCCTACAGCCTAAAGCGTAAAGCCTAAAGCCTAAACCCTAAATACACCCCATAAATTCCCTCTTCAGTTGCCCCGTGTAGCATGGCTAGACGGGTGGCAAAAAAACCATAAACCCTAAACCCTCAAAAGGATCTTCCAATTCTGTGGGCAGCCGCGGCAGTTGCTGTTGGATAAAGCAACTCGGGAACAAGGCGGGGCGCCCTGGGGAGTAAGGATATGTGGATTTACGGCAATTAAGTGACCCCTAGTATAGACCCGCATATAGAATGATCCCTTTATAAAGACCCCAACAAGGTACCCCTAGTAGTGAAAACCCCCCATATTGCTGTGGGTTGGGAAGGCAGCCGGGCCCTAAATACTCAGGCCTATTAATTCCGACTCCCATAATCTCTGAACTCCAATCCCCTTTAATGTGTTTCTGCCCACAAGCCAAGCATGAGTTTTGGGGTATTAGGCTTGGGGCTCTTCCTGGCAGAGTCCTTGCAGGCCCTAAACCCTGAACCCTAAACCCTAAACCCTAAAAGTCTCTTCAAGATGTGCTGGCGCCGCCTGCCAGCCTATGCTTCGAACAAAGGAGCTTAGAAACCTCAAGCTTTGAACCCGAAGGGTCCATGTGCCCAAGTAGGGACCCACTTGGGTCTTGAAGTACTTCCTTTTGAGGGAAGGATGGACCCTTACCTTAAGCTCTACTTACCTGCTGTTTCGTAGTAACTTCCGGAATTCGTAGGTATAACCCATAGAACTGCAGGTAAAGAGGGTCCCGGGTAGGGGCAGGCTTCGGAGACTTCCCCTAAACCCTAAACCCTAAACCCTAAACCCTAAACCCTAAACCCTAAACCCTAAACCCTAAACCCTAAACCCTAAACCCTAAACCCTAAACCCCATCTCCCTGCACCGATTCCTGGGCCTCCCACAGCTCCCGCAAACCATGTCACGAAACTCTATAAACCCTAAGGGTTTAGGGTTTAGGGTTTAGGGCTTATAGGGTTTAGGGCTTAGGGCTTAGGGCTTAGGGCTTATAGGGTTTAGGGTTTAGGGTTTTTAGGGTTGAGGGTCTCAAGCAGGCATGTCCCGAAACCTCGATGAGCTCATGGCGGAGCCCACGGAGGCCAGCAGCAGAGCGTGGGATGGCCCTGTGACGATGACTCTGTGGTTTAGGGTTTAGGGTTTAGGGGTTTAGGGGTTTAGGGGTTTAGGGGTTTAGGGGTTTAGGGGTTTAGGGGTTTAGAGTTTAGGGTTTAGGGTTTAGGGTCTGTGGTGCTTTACTGTAACTTTAGATCCTTAGCCTTTTTGGGTTTATTGGGTTTCTTAGTAAGGCAGCTAAAAAAACTCATTTATAGCTACCCTGCTAAGTGCAGCCAAGATGACTTTTTCTCGGCACCTCCCTGTAAGTACTCTCATGGACTCTCATGTCCCGTTTGAGTGTACCCTTCCCTAAGCCCGAAAGCCGTTTTTCCCTCGTTTTTTGGGGGGGGGATGGGTTGAAGTGACCCCCCTCCCCCCACTTCCTGCCCACGTGCAGTCTCCCCTAGTTAGGGGGTGTCCACCTTTAATTTGTTGGTAGTAATGTCATGATAACCCCCCCCCCCCCCCCCCCCCCCAAAAAACAAATGGGAGTTGAAGGCCGGCACTGAAACAGGAGGGTGGCCTAGTTGCTCTCTCTTACATCTTCTTCTGGGAAGTCCACAGGAGGGCCACGAGCATGTCTCATGGATTAGGGCTTGGGGTTTAGGGTTTGGGTTTAGGATCATTTTAGGTGTGGGGCCCCCTATAGGAATGCCTATGTTTAGCGGCTCTGCCTGGTTTTCGACGGAAGGCCTTTGGCAAAACCGAAGTTGTTGGAATATTTCGTTTCGAAGCCAACGAAAATCTTGCTGCTTCTGGCCCAAACCCAGTAGTTAACTACAGTAGAATGGCTTCAAGAAGCAGTCGCGGGTACATGCGGGGTCATGTGTTGTTTAGTTAGGGAGGGAGGCAGAAAGACAGAGAGAAAGAGAGAGAGAAAAGAAAAAGTCAAGAGGGAGAGAGAGAAAAGCAGAAATCAATCGAGAGAGAGAAGAAACAAATCAAGAGCGAGATAGAGAGAGAGAGAGAGAAAGAGACAGAGAGAGAGAGAGAGACAGAGAGAGAAAGAGACAGAGAGAGAGAGAGAGAGAAAGAGAGAGAGAGAGAGAGAAAGAGAGAAAGAGAGAGAGAGAGAAGCTCTTGAGCCGTAAGCCCCAGGCAGGATTTCCCTGCTTCCTCGCTTTGCAGACCCTGAACTCCAGATTTAGGGCTGATTGTAGGGTCCCTCCGACACTAGATTCTCAAAGCCAGTGTGGAGAAAGATGCCCTCAGAAGCAGCACTTCGTAGCCCAGAGCGTCCTTCCCAGTCGGAGTGTATCACTAATCCAGCTTAGGCACAACTCCCGCCAAAAAAACCCAAATCAGAAAGAGCTCAGGAAAAAAAATAGAGGAGTCAGGGCAAAGCCTGTGCTCCGAAGCATGGAACTTCCATCCTAAAACCAGCCCTCCCCACACCCACTGCACAGCCCTTCCAGGGCGGGTTCCCACAGAACCTCATCCGAGGCGGGAGTGAGCAACTCACTTGATCACCTCATGGGAGTGATTGTTCGGGGTCGATTGGTTCTTCGTTTTTGCTTCAGGATGTCAGGGGTGGGCTGATGGGGTCCCTAAACTGGGTCCTTCTTGGCTTGAATTTGACATTTTGTTCTCATAAAAACCCATTCAGGATTGAACATGCTAATTTCTAATCGAACCCCAACAAGGACCCGGTAAACCCTAAACCCTAACCCTAAGCATTTTGTGCCTTTCTTGGCTTGCCCGATGCGAGTTTCCGGGATCCGGCAGGCCGCCAGGCCATGCTGGCTATGAGGGCCATGCGCTTCGTAAATGTCGACGAGGACTGAGCTAAGTCTTGGGTTTAGGGTTTAGGGTTTAGGGTTTAGGGTGTTTTGGGTCTAGGGTGTTTAGGGTTTAGGGTTGCGTCTCCCAAGCCCGTAGAAACCGGCCCTTCGGTGGTTTTGGGGGGCTTACTTTTATCGGTTCTTCGCAGGGAATCTTGAAGCTAAGAGGTTGCCAGCGTTGCTCTTGAATAGAGAACTGCAGTCGGCTTCCGTACTTTGTGTCTGTACCCTAAACCCGAAACCCTAAACCCTAAACCATTTTGGTTTGAGCTTGACAAGTGCCCGGCGATCCGAGGGGCCTGCTTTCGAAAGGTGCTAACCCCTTCAAGGCTTTTAGACGGGATTGAAGGTGCCTAGTTCACGCCCTAGCCCCTAGACCCTAAGACCTTAAACCCTACACCAAAAACCCTAAACCCTAACCCCTAAACCCTAAACCCTAAGCCTAAACCCTAAACCCTAAACCCTAAACCCTAAACCCTAAACCCTAAACCCTAAACCCTAAACCCCACGCAGGACGAAGGCTTCGGGAGAGCCTGGGAGATGGTCCCACCCCCCAGGCCCCATGGGGGTTGTGTGTCTTGGGCTGGGGTTTAGGGTTTAGGGTTTAGGGTTTAGGGTTTAGGGTTTAGGGTTTAGGGTTTAGGGTTTAGGGTTTCGGGTTTAGGGTTTAGGGTTTAGGGTTTAGGGTTTAGGGTTTAGGGTGTAGCTGACTTTTCTTTTTGCTCCTGGGCCTCCCGTTTTCCTCGCACCCAAACCACCCACGCCCTCACACCAGCAACACCAATCAGGGTTTAGGGTTCAGGGTTTAGGGTTTTTGGGTTCAGGGTTTAGGGTTTAGGCTTAGGGTGGGGTCACCGGCTGCTGTGAACCGAGGCCTGCCGCAAAAAGGTTACAGTTGCAAAGTGTTTAGGGTTTAGGGTCTAGGGTTTATAAGGGCATGAGAATAGCACCACCATGGCAGTGTGTATTTGGAAGCGTTTTGCCAAAAATCATGAAGTGTCGGGCCGAAAACAGTACAGGGGCTGCGTAAGGCGAGCCCCGACAGCAAAAACAAACACACCTCGGAGTGTGAGGGTAACAAAAACGACAGTGCTCTCCCGTATACTAACAGTCCTTAATGGGGATTATACTAGGGGGTACTATAATCCCGATTAAGGACTGTTAGTATAGCACAAGCAAGCACAGAGCAGGGGCAGCCAGCATGAAACACACGCAAACACGACAAGGATCTGCTGTACCAGCAACATGCAGGGTGCAGGACTAGGGTTCAAAATGGCTTTTTACTGCCTCGTTTAGGGTTTCGTGTTTAGGATTTAGGGAAGCCCCGAGGAGAGTAGAAGGCGTAGTGTGGACATCCTGAAATCGTACACATCTTATTCTGCGAGAATGTTCACATTGAGAACAAACGCACTACAAGTACCCCCTTAGGAACACTTACTTCTGTGCTTGCTTAGGGGTTTTGCGTTTGAGCACCATGTTGATTTTTTTCGAGAAGTGCACGCGAGGTCGCCCGGAGCGCGCAGTGAGGATTCGGACATGTCGCTGCCCCTTGGGGACTAAATGAACCCTAATAGGGTTTATGGTTCATGCACCTTAATAGGAATTAAAGTAGAAAAGGGTACATGACCCTAAAAGGGTTTAGGGGTCATATTACCTTAATAGGAATTGTAGTAGTATATGGTATATGCCCCCAATTTTGGGGTTCATTTCGTCCCAAGGCAGTCTGTCCCCGGCTTCCCGATGGGCGAGTGGAATTTCGACGACTAGTCGAGGCGGGCGCCTCAACGTTCGGACAGTGAGAGATCGACCAATCCAAACCTCCCAAGCTTGGGGATGTTCCCCCCTATACTCAACAGTCCCTTACAGGGATTATCATCGGGGGTACCATAAATCCCTACTAAGGACTGTGAGTATCAGGGGGAACATCCCAACCCCGAACCCTGAATTCCCCCAAACACGTCCAAGCCTGGACATGTTTCGTGATGCCTCCGCTGGTGGGTTGAGTTGCGGCTTTAGGGTTGCCCGGATGAAAAGATTGGGGTTTAGGGTTTAAGGTTTAGGGTTTAGGGTCTAGGGTCTAGGGTCTAGGGTCTAGGGTCGGTCTAGGGTTTAGGGTAATCTAGGGCCTTGTGCATGGAGTTGAGCTTCCCTAACACGTCCCACTCGCCCCCTCCCAGGCGGCCGACGCAATCTTCCCAGCGTGAGTTTTTGGTTTCTGAGGGGGGGGGGGGAGATGGGTTTAGGGTTTTAGGTTTTAGGGTTTAGGGTTTAGGGTTTGGGGGGGGGGGGGGGGCCTCTCTGACTTGTGGCCCCGTACTTGTTTGCGGCGGGGTCCGATTATCACACCTCAGCCCCAAACCGTTTAGGGTTTAAGGGCTTTCATCCTAAAGCTCCCTTCTCTTGCTGCAGACGTACAGTCCTCTTAGGATGTATTCTGCATTATACCACCCTCTTCAGACATAATTTAAAAAGAAAACCTTCATGGTAGTTCTTGGGGCGGCACTTTTGACAGAGTCTGTGTTTGGGGAAGAAGTTGCAGGATGATCTAGAGCGTTGTTGCGACTTTCCGCTGCAGCTGCATGGCCCTGTACAGTGAGGCAAGCCAGCTGCCAGCTTGGCACACGCAGAACGCGAGCTGTGGCAGGGGCACCAAAAGTGGTGCTTCCTGAGCCTAAGGCTACTCACAATCGATCGCTTACACATTGGCTCAAAGTTCATCCCCAAAACGACATGTGTGTGGGCTGCTTATGGACCCTATAAGCCTTTAGTAGCATAAGAGTCCTTTGAGCCAAGAGAGCTTTGGGCTTCGCTATCGCTGTCGCCACGTCGGAGCTGTCCAGCTCCGCGGGCAAGCTTGCGGGAATGGACAGATGCTGGCCAGTCCAGCAACTTCCGATGCGCGCAGACCGGCAAAGTTTTGTTGCAAGCTGCAAGGGGTTTAGGGTTTAGGGTTCAGAGCCCCCACCCACCTAAGGCCCCGAAGCCCAAGACCCTAAGCTTCCTCCGCTATGTTTAGTGCGGACGTGTTGCATCCCTGCAGTGCGGTTGCGAGGCTACTAGCTGGGTGGCAAAAACCCTGAACCACTATCTGAACCCATACCAAGCATGCAAATAGCTATCACTGATGCCCCCAAACGCAGTGGAACACATTAGCTATGAATTCTATGGGGATGAAGCCAATGTTAGTTTCGGTCCCTTAATATGGTCCCTTGCCCTCTCTTGAAGGGTGTGTATGAGGGGTAGATAAGGGGTTCCCCGTTTCAGGGCCCATACGAAGCCAGCCCTAAACCCCCAACCCCAAGCCCCAAAGCCCTAAGCATGAAACTGCCCTAAACCCACCCTAAACCCTAAACCCTAAACCCTAAACCCTAAACCCTAAACCCTAAACCCTAAACCCTTGAATGTAGCAGGTCACGAGCCAGCCCTTGCTTTCGATCTTGGACCGGAGCTCAGTCAGGGAGTTGAGTGCTTCTTAGGGCCTTTGGGGTCTTAGGGTTTAGGAGTTTAGGGTTTAGGGTTTAGGGTTTAGGGTTTAGGGTTTAGGGTTTAGGGTTTAGGGCTGGCCTAACACCCTGAAATCGAGCTTTAGGGATTTGGATTCAGGGGTACAAAGAGTTCGAGGGTTGGCCCCGCGCCTCAAAAGAGGTTCTTTGGAGGGTTCAGGTCGCTGCTTGATGGCGAGCCTGCGTGGCTGGCTGTCGCTGCGAGCTCGGATGCAAAAAGGGGTTCGGAGTTTAGAATTTGGGGTTTGGGGTTTAGGGTTTATGGTTTAGGGTCCAGGTTAAGGATTCCGCATCGTAAGCACACTTACTTTTATCATTTAAACTGGCATGCAAACAAACCCCCCATCATGTTGCGCACAAAATCAGGTTCAAAGATGTCATAGCCTCCGTGCAGCACAACCAAGAAACCCGAATATTGAGCAGGTTTGTGCTTGCTAGGGGCAATCTGAAACCTTCGCCCAGCTTTGCAGGAAGGAAGAAGGTCATAAACTCGCCACAAGCGTACCAGGACGCCAAGCAGTACGCTTTATTTCTTTTGGTAGGTTACTTGGGCAAGCTTGAGCGGTACACTAGACTTTAGGGTTTAGGGGTTTAGGGTTTAGGGTTTGGGGTTTAGGGTTTGAGGTTTGGGGTTTGGGCTTGGATGCAACACAAAAAGGACGAAGGAGGGAGTTGAGGACCCCAATACCTCTGATATCTCGCGGAGAACAGCCAACTACGCCCTCGACGTGATCTTCTTTAGGGTTTAGGGTTTATGGTTTAGGGTTTAGGATTTAGGGTTTAAGGTTTGGGGTTTGGGGTTTAGGGTTTGGTACAACCCAACCCTAGAAGCCTTTGACCCACAATCCTTATGCAACCCTTCAACCCTCAGGCCGTTTATGAGTCCTTAAGAGCTTACGCCCTGAAGCCCTTGACCCCAAAACCATACCCTACTTGGAGGTTCATGGTACTTATTAACCGATTATGACTGTACTTATAACTGTACTTATAACCATATTAGGGCATCTAAAGGGCTGATAAGTGGGTTCTAAGTACAGCTATACTTGGTTACTAAGAACCTCAACCCTAAACCCTAAACTACCCAGTTAAGAACCATGAACCTCCAAGTAAACCCGAAACCCCAGTGGCGTTTTATGCCAAGGCCTGCGCAGCTGGTCGCGGTCACCCTGCAGCCCTTGCGCCCGGGGTCAGGTGCGTTTAGGGGGTTTGGGGTTTAGGGTTTGGGGTTTAGGGTTTGGGGTTTAGGGTTTAGGGTTTGGGGTTTAGGGTTAGGGTTTAGGGTTTGGGGTTTGGGGTTTGGGGTTTAGGGATTAAACCCTAAACAGTAGAAGTTCAGGGCTTAAACGGTTCGGGCTTCACCCTAGTTAGTCCCGAACTCCTCGAAAAAAGAAAGTCCCACCACATAAGGTGAGCCATAGATTAGGGCTGAGGGTTTTAGGGAAGCTGTTTTCGACAGAACCCCCCCCCTCCCCCTAAGAATTCGTTCAGACTGTGAACACCCTGCTTCCCCCCCCCCCCCGCTTACCCTAAACACTAAACCCTGAACCCTGAACCCTCAGCCCTGAACCCTAAACGCTGTTAGGGCAACTGGCTACCTTTTGTCGATCGAGTGCCTTAAGGAAGCTTACAGATGTGGAAAGAGCTTTGTGTTGCGTCCGAACAGCTTCTAGCGCCTTAGGGTTTAGGGTTTAATTGGGTTTAGGGTTTAGGGTTTAGGGTTTATAGGGTTTTGGGTTTAGGGTTTGAGCATCCGAAGCCCAAAACAGGGTTCAAGCTTTGGGGTGGTATGCCTTTGCAGGCATGGCTGGGACTGTCGTTCTACGCGGAGAGTACGCGTGTAGCTGAGTCATCTGACGGGTTTAGGGTTTAGGGTTTAGGGTTTAGGGTACCTTTTCAGACAATATGTGGCCCCAGAGCAGCTACCCTGCAGTCCCTCTCGTGTGGAAGTGTCGACTCTGTCTCTGTTGGTCTCAGGTTTTTTTGGGAGCTTTTGAAGCTTGAGCAGCCCCACAGTCCCCACTATCCAAGCCTGCCAGCCAAAGTCACAGGGATTAGAAGGCTGTGCCCGGAGAAGCGCCACCCTAAAAGGGCCAGATAACCCACTGATTTATATATATATATATATATTTTTTTTTTTTTTTATTCATTTTTTTTTTTTTTATTTATTTATTACTAGTTTTTTTTTTTTTTTTTTTGGGGGGGGGGGGTGTCCAGGCAGGCTGCAAAAGGCAGTCCCCGAGGCACCGGTCGAACCCTGAGTCAACCTCCTGGACCACCTGAACTCCCTTCCACTGGCTGAAGGGCAAAAGGCTCCGGAGTCTGGATGGTTTAGGGCTGGAGGGGTTTAGGGTTGAGGCTTAGCCTACGTACATATATATATATATATGTGTGTGTGTGTGTCTATGTATATATATATATATATATATATGTATATGTAGATCAGGCATACTTTTCCCGCTTTCGTATGGGTAATTATATGACCGCTGGTCTAAAATTATGGTCCCTTTGAAGGGCACCTACTGACATCTGGCGCCCCGAACCCCCACATCCTCTAAGCCCTGAGCCCTAAAAAACCATAAGTCCACAAAGGGAGGTCACGGTGGTGTGGATGGACATCTCCATCCTAGGGGATGCTCCCCCAAAAAACGAACAGTCCTTCATAGGGATTATACTGTTAGTACAAGGGGGAACATCCCAAACCCTAAACCCTAAACCCTAAACCCTATAAGCCCTTCAGCCCAAAATGCCGACGAGGCCGAAGGCCGTGGACGTCAAGTGTGTGGTGCTGATGCAGGGGTCTGGGCCAACAAACAGCAGCCAAAACGCGGAGGCCCCAGGAAGCATGGGTTTAGGGTTTAGGGTGGTTTAGGGTGGTTTAGGGTGGTTTAGGGTTTGGGGTTTAGGGTTTAGGGTTTAGGGTTAGGGTTCGGGTGGGATCCATGATCCAGGTGGATGAGTCTGTATTCGAAAGGATTTTGGGCCTTCTAGGGCTTGGGAACGGGGATTTCGGGGCTTAAGGATCTTGGCAAGCTGGCTGCAGAAAAGGGCTCTGAAGGTTTGGGGTTGCAAGGGCTGTGCGGCTTCAGAGGTTGGATTCAACTCGGGGGTTTAGGGCCGAGGGTTCAGCGCTGCTTGAGAGCTTTCACTTGTGATATGGAACGCTACCGCCCTATACTTCTTGCGGGTTTGGGGGAGGGGGGGGGGTGGGGTTATGAAAGGATGGAGTGGGGGAAGTTGCAGAGAGGGTGGGCGAGCAATGCGCCT